CCACTCTAGCCATCCTGTGCCACCTAAGGGAGAAGGGGACAGAGAAAGAGAAGCACTCGTGAAGTTCATGGTTCAGTGGCACAGGCTCACTGAAAGACTGCTAATCATGGAACTACAGGATGCTTTCTCCACCCAAATTCCACATCTTACCACCAATTACTAGAGGCCTATTTAGAACAGTTAGTTTTACCCAGTACATCATGTCCACCTATCAAGAACAATTAAAAGGCATAGTAAAAGGCAGAGATAAAACAAAAACCCCAATACAAAACAAAAAAACTAAAAAACTACACAGTTTAAAGAGTCACAACAAGCATCAGAACCAGACTCAGATATATGAATCATCAGACTGGGAATTTAAAACAACTATGTGATGTCCAAGGGCAAGAGATAGACATCCCAGCTCAAGATGAGCAAGAGCGACTTCACTCTTCAACTACCTTTTTTTTTTTTTTTAATTCTATTTGAGTCTTCAATAGATTGAATGATGCCCACTCACACCAGTGAGGGCAGATCATCTTTACTCCATCTACTGATTTAGATGCTAACTTCTCTTGGAGACACCCTCACAGATGCACTCCAGAAATAATGTTTTATCAGCTGTTTGGGCATCCCTTTGCATGGTCAAGTTGACACAAACATGACAAGTCCACTCCTCGTCCACTTGATCTTACATGCATCTCCTCAAACCTACTTAATCTCCAAATAAAGACATAATTATGCCTAATATGGTATAACTACCATGAGTACAACTGAAAATGTACTAATCCCTTTCCCAGAAGAGATAAAGTCCTTCAATGATGTTTACTCTTCTGATATTCCATAACTTGAAAACTATGATGTAAAATTAACAATACTTAAATACTGATATAACATCAGTACATCTTCTGTTCCATGAAAAGGGAATAAAAGAAGAAAAATAAGATATTTGCTTAATATGTGCATATGTGCACACAAGCATATTCATAGCACAATGAGGAAATACAATGACAGTTACAGTTCTCATTTGTGTAACTCATCTCGTGGTTGTAACTGGTATAACTATCTTTTCCTAGTACCATTCTGTATTCCCTTTGCCTTCAACAAGCACGTCACCTGGTACTGGTTCTTTACCTACTGGGTTGACTGAAACCTTCATTCCTGAGGGTTCTGGGCCATTACTAACCCTGCCTGGATTGGGATGTTGTAGTGTTCCAGTGACCTTAATCACAGAACACAGTAATACTATGAGATGCTGTCTAAGAACTACTGGATGGAATCTCCTATTCCAGAAAGGTGCTTTCTTACCTCCACTGAGGAGTAGTGGTTCTGTTTCCCTTAGTATTCAGGCTGAGTCACCCTAGGTAGCATAGGAACTCCTTTCCTTGATTTGGGGCATGAGGAGCCCAAAGAGGACAGGTGGCAGTCTTCACTTTCAGATACTACTTATATTTCCACCCCTTGATTTCTAGCTGGGAATCCTGGCTATTGGAGAAATAGCACCATATGTTGAATGCTGATCTAGAGTATATACAGCCTTCTGGAGAACTCAAGCCTTGCAAAGTATTGCCCGCCAGCTGACACTGTAACTATCTTCAAAAGACCATTCCACCATTCTATCAAGCCAGCTGCTTCAGTATGGTAGGGAACATGGTAAGACCAGTGAATTCCACCAGTGTGGGCCTATTCCTACACTTCTTTTGCTATGAAGTGAGTTCCTTGATCCAAAGCAATGGTGTGTGGAATACCATAATGGTGGATGAGGCATTCTGTAAGTTTATGGATGGTAGTTTTGTCAGAAGCATTGCATGAAGGGAAGGCAGATTTATCCAGAGTAGAAATCTATTCCACTTAAGGACAAAATGCTGCTCTTGGGCAGCCCCGTTGGCTCAGCGGTTTAGCGCTGCCTTCAGCCCAAGGCCTGATCCTGGAAACCCCGGATCAAGTCCCACATCGGGCTCCCTGAATGGAGCCTGCTTCTCCCTCTGCCTGTGTTTCTGCCTCTCTCTCTGTGTCTCTCTCTCTGTCTCTCATGAATAAATAAAATCCTTAAAAAAATAAATAAAAATAAAAAAATTAAAAAAAAATGCTGCTCTTTCCATAAAGTAAATAGTTCAATGTAATCAGCTTGCTACCAGATAGCTGGCTAATCATACCGGGTAATGGTACCATGTCAGCGGCTCAGTGTTGCTATCGGCTGCTGGCTGACTGGGTACTCAGCCGTGGCTTTGGCAAGTAAAAATCCTGTTGTGCTCACTCCTGGCATCAAAATCTGTATCAGTCAGGGTTTTCCAGAGAGTTAATAACCAATAGAAGTGAGGGGGCACTGGTATAAGTCTCAGAGTTCAAAGACCCAAGAACCAAGAACTTCAATATTTGAGGGCAGAAGATGGATTTCCAGCTCAAGAAGAGAGAGAGAAATTCCATCTTTCCTTTCCTTTTTTTTTTGTTTTTGTTTTTGTTTGTGTTTTTGTTTTTGGTGAACTTGGTGAAGACATATCTTCTTTACTCAGTATACTGATTCAATTGTTCATTTCTTCCAGAAACACCTTTGCAGACACACCCAGAAATTGTTTTATCACCTATCTGGGCATCCCTTAGCTCAGTCTAGTTGACCCTTAAAATTAACTATCGCAAATGCTTTCAGTAGGCCAGGTTATGTGGGAAATGTCTGTACCTTCCACTGAATTTTTCTGAGTGATTGCTTTAAAAAAATAAAGTCTATTTTAGAGAAACCAAACACCTGAGCAAAGACATTAACATTCAAACACCATAGAGGAGACAGATTCTGTAATTTAAGTCTAGGCAATGCACTAAAACAAAACAAAAACCCACAAAAATATATCAGAATCTATAGTTGCTACTATATAATATCTAAAATGTACAGTTTTCTTTTTTTAAATGTACAGTTTTCAACAAAAGAGAAACATACAAATAAAATACTCAGAGTAGTTAATAGATATTGCCTCTAAGCGGGCTAGATGTTGGATTCAGCAAAGACTTCAAAGCAGCTATCATAAATATGTTCAAAGAATTAAAGGAAACTGACCAAAGAGTTAAGTTAAAAGAAAATACAATTAAAATTGCCTAGCAAATAGGAAGTCTCCATAGAGAAATATAAACTATTTAAGAAAAAAAAAACCAAATGGAAATTGTAGAGTTGTAATATACAGTAACTGAATGAAAATTCATCAAGTGGTCTCAACATCAGATTTGAGATGACAGAGGAGAGAATGAGATAGCTCAAAGGTAAGGCACTAGAAATGATCCAGACCAAAGAACAAAAGAGAAAGGTATTGAAGGAAAATGAACAAAGCGTAAGAGATCTGTGGGACAACAGCTGGTGTACCAACATACCTGCAACAGGAGCTCCAGAAGGGCAGAAGGCAGAATGAAGCAGCAAATTATCTAAAGAAATAATGGCCCCAAACTTCCCACGTTTATTATCTACAGATCCAAAATTCTCAATGCCAAATAAGATAAGCACAAGGAGAACCACAACTAGGCACAGTCAAATTACTGAATGACAAAAAGAGAATCTTGAAAGCAGCGATGGAAAAACAACTCTGTAGAGGGGAACAATATGATTAATGGCTGGTTTTTTATCAGAACAATGGAGGCTAGAAGGTAGTGGAAAAACATATTCAAAATGTTGGAATAAAATTCAACTAAGAATTTATTTTTTTAATTTATTTTGTTATTTTTTTTCAACTAAGAATTTATATTCAGGAAAACTATCATTTGAAAATGAGGGTGAGGGGCACCTAACTGGCTCAGTCAGAAGAGCATGTTACTCTTGATCTCAGAGTTGTGAGTTTGAGCCCTATGTAAGGTGTAGAGATTGCCTAAATGAGGAATACTTTTTAAAAAAGAAAAGAAAATGAAGGTGAGATAGACATTCCCTGACAGACAAGATTTGTTGGTAGTAGTCCTGACCTAAAATAAATACTAAAGAAAGGCCTTAGGCTGAAAGAAAATGGGAGCACACAGACACTCATCCACAGAAAAGATTGAAGAGAATTGGAACTGAGAATAGGTATAATGGACTATATACACAAATATGCGTCAACTTGTAAATGGATCAACAATATGTATCTACTCAGAAGGAAGAATGAAGTACTAATTTCATGCACATATATGAGCCTCAAAAACAGCATGATGCATGAAAGAATCACAAAAGACTCCTATGTTGTATGAATCCAATTATATGAAATTTCTAGAAGAGACAAAGACATAGAGATCAAATGAAGGTCAGTTATTACCTGAGACAGGGTGAGAGCAGGCATTGATTGCCACCAGCCATGGAGAAACATTTTGGGGTTGGTGGATATCTTCTAAAACTGGATTTTGATCGTGATTACATAACTGTAAATTTACTAAAACTTCATCAGACTGTGTAATTACATGGTTGAATGTGTGGTATGCCAATTATACCTTAATACAGTGGTAAAAAATGTTAACAGTGCCTGTTTCTGAGTAGTGTGAATGGAGACAATTTTCATTTTCTTTTTGCTTCTATTGCATTTTCTAGACTGATTACCTAAACATCTATTATGGTTGGAATAAAAGACAACATTAAAAGTAAATTTTTAAACAATAACAACTATATTTAAAATACTTTTGAAGCAAAAACTCCCTTGACACACATAGACACACCCCCCCACACACACACACACCTAGCAGGAATCCCAGTAAACAATACTCTATCAGAGTGTAATTTAGCTAAATATATACTCTTTTATTGCACTTGGGAATTTAATATGGTAGTTATTTTGGGTCTTAGGATAAGGCTGTTGAGACGTGACTTTCTTTTCCTACAGAAAAATCCATCAACAGGATAACATTACATCAGCTGATGCCATGCCGCCAAATTATATCTCAGACTTTTTGAGGGTCCTTATGAGACCTGCAATAGAACAGGCAATGAATTTAAGTATGAAATGTCTTAATTGAGCCAAAGCTGATATTAGCTACTTGTAGAGACTAGCAGCCTGCCTTAAATGTTCCCCTTTTTTTTGCAGATGCTGTTGAGATATATTTTATAAAGAGTATCAGTGCATATCAAGCAACATTGGGCCCAGCAGATTATGAAACTCTGACAACTATTGAAGAATTTTGCAAATGGCTTGTCCAAAATGGCAAAAAACAGGTAAATATGAACAGGTAAATCAACAAGAGGCAGTGTGATCTTTGGCAAGATCCTTAGCCTTCATAGTGTTCATTTATATATGTAAATATATATATATACATATATATATAATTTATATTATGACTGTTCAGACATGGCTTTATTTTCCTACAGAAAAATCCATACCTTTCATCAACTGATGAAACTGATAACCATCAAATTATATCTCAGACTTTTTGAGATTCCTTATGAGACCTGCAATGAGAACAGGCAATGAATTATATATATATATATATATTCATTATTATACATTAACTATCATTAATTATCATATATATATGAAGAACTATCATTATTGAACTTAAGCTTGGAATTTTACTCTTCACAGAAACACATTACTTAGGTGACACATCACAACTGCCTGACCCTGGTGGGTTGGGTCAGTGTGATGTAGAACATCTCCTCCATAGAATATGGAATAAAACTGACATGCTCCTTCAGAATTGCCAGAATGATTTTAAAACGCTTTTCTTTAATTCATTCCCTAGGAGGCTTACAGACTGCTAAAGGCTTCACTGAAGTCTCAGGTCATCAGCTATGGTGACTGCAGTGAAAAAGTGACCGAAACGTTTTACAACATGGGCAGGATCTGCTTCGCCAAAGGAGAGCTCAGAAAGGCCATTCAGCTGTTACAGAAGGTGAATGCTGGCAGCCTTTTACATGTTCTCCTGGGCCTGTAAGCACAATGTGAAGAGTAATACGTGTGGTGTGGGGGGATTATTTTCCCTTTCTTTCCCTCCTCTCCCCTCCCCCTCCCCTCTCCTCCCCTCCCCTCCCTTTTGCTTCCCTCTCCTTCTTTCCTTCCTTCGCTTTTTCCTTACTTTACTATTCCTTTTGATTTTTTAAGTAAAGCAAAAATTCCATTTCTTAGATGTGCTGAGGGAGAACATGATACAGAGACTTTTGTTGTGTCCATGCTGGGCCAGCCTCTTAAAAGAGTAATAACATCGCAGTGTTGAAATCTAGGTATGGCAGTGGCGGAGTATGAAAGCACCCAACGTTGGGCGGTCAAGAACACCTTGTGTAAACCATTCTTGCCCAAATACTGATACCTTCCCAGGGGGCTCAGACAACCCTGGATGTTCACATCCTGTAGTAGGATCTGGCAAGAGGTGAGACCAAACCACGGTTCAGCTAGTCAGTATTCTGACAGACCAAGGCTAAAGACAAGGTCAGATCGGTAGGGATGTCTCTACATAAAATCTAAGTTTATTCAATGTCAGATAAAAAGTTGGTGAAGCTCAACCAATACTCATGTGAGCAGAGGGAGGAGTCGAAAGCAATCCACATGTGTACATTGGCAAACAACAGGTCTAGAGAGATTTTATCTCATTTCAGGTTAACTAAATGTAATCAGGAAATAAGTATGAAGATAGTAAATAATGGGAGAAAGGGGGCCTTATTTTGAAGATTCTGAGAAAAAGAAAACCTTATGAAATAAGTTACAGGGATCAGAAGAATGTCTTCAAGGGAAGCATGAACATAGGGATGGGGGCAGAAAAACCTGTAAGGACAGAAAACTTTACAGTGAAAGAATGACCATCTGAGTCCAAAAGATGAGATGAGATTCAAGAGTGAAATAAGGGATTTCAGAGAAACAACAAATCCAAAGAATTCAAAGCTACGTGGAAAATAGGGAAGACTGTCTTAATGTGTCACAGAGATGGTGAGCACATCTCCCAAATCTAAAATTGCAACAGAGTCAATTAAAATCAAAACAAAAATGAAACAGACTAACAAAATCAGATTCCTGAGCCTCACCTCAGACCATTACATCACAAGTTCTAAGAGGTGTGTTTAGAATCTGTGTTTTTAATACTTCTAGAGATATAATATCCTGCCAGTTTAAAGAATCAGAGATTGATAAGGCAGACTTGAAAAGCTGTCCGGCAATGCAGAGAGAAGGGAAAGAGGGAGGCAAAGTAGAGATTTACCTGAAGAATTGTGTGTATTCCTGAAAAAGAACTAGAATACTTGGAATAGAAACAGTAATCAAAGAAGTCATTGAGAGCAACTTTTCTTTTTTTTTTAATTTTTATTTATTTATGATAGTCACAGAGAGAGGGAGAGAGGCAGAGACATAGGCAGAGGGAGAAGCAGGCTCCATGCACCGGAAGCCCGATGTGGGATTCGATCCCGGGTCTCCAGGATCGCGCCCTGGGCCAAAGGCAGGCGCCAAACTGCTGCGCCACCCAGGGATCCCAAGAGCAACTTTTCTGAAATGAAAAACAACAACAACAACAAAACCAACCCAGCATACATATTGTACACAAGATGAAAAGCGAGCCCAATCTAGATTTTACCTGGCCATGGATGTCTGATGGCACAGCTACATCCTCCATTTGGAATAGTGATTCAACTTGGGGATTTAGGATTCTGTAAGGTAGGTAGGGGCTGCAGCTTTGCTATCAGCTTTTATCCTTAGGGCTTTAGACACATCAATGTCCCAGCCCAGAAAGGAGGTGGGAACTAGAAGGGCATGCTGACACTCAGGCTGTTGTTTTGAGGTTGGAACACCTTCTTCATGCTGGGTATCCATCAGTGGGTTGCTGGAAGTTTCTGAATTAGCCTAAGTTAATAGATGCTGTTCTGGGGATTGGAAACTACTCCCGGAGCTAAAAAGAAGGCAAGAAATCTCACCAAAAGTTGATGCTGTGAGGAAACTCCTTTGGCAGATAGAATAGAGCATAAAAAGGGTGACACTTTTGGCTAACTTTTTTCTTGGGCAGTTCACGTTTTATGTTAAAAGGAATCAAAGTTAAATGTAGTAGGGTGGAGGTGAGAAGAGAAAAGACAAACCTTAAAAATTATACTCTCGTGATGGAATAATTTTTATTTGCATACCATAAACTATACATATCTTGAAGTGTACAGTTTGATCAGTTTTGACATCTTGACCTGTGAAACTATTACCACAATCAAGATCATGAATATATCAGTCACCCCCAAAAGTTTCCCCATGTCCCTTTGTAATTATTCAGTTCCACCCTTCCCCCAAAGCCACCCCCAGGCAATAACTGGTTTGCTTTGTCACTGTAGACACATTAGCATTTTCTATGATTTTATATAAGTAGAATACTGTAGTTAAATCATTCTTTCACCATAATTATTTTGAGACTTATCCATATTATTGTGTGTATCCATGGTTTACTCTTACTGCTGAGTACTACATTATGTGGACAACATGATTTTTTTTTATCCATTCACCTGATGATGAACATTTGACTGTTTCCAGTTTGAATTTATTACGGATAAAACTATGAATATTCATGTACAAATGTTTGTATGGAGATACACTTTCTTCTCTTGGCTCAGTCCTTAGGAGTACAATGGCTAAGTAATATGATGGGTGTATGTTTACCTTTACGCAAAACTGCCAAAATTTTGGAAAATAGTTGCATCATGTATTCCCCCCAGCAGGGCCTGAGAATTCAGTTTCTCCACATCTTTGCCAGGAGTTGACGTGGCCAGTGCTTTTAATTGTAGCCACCCTAATAAGTATGGAGTGGTGTCTCATTGTGTTTTTTAAGGTATTTTTTTAAGGTATTTATTTATTTATTTGAGAGAGCGAGCGAGCAAGAGCACAAGTCAGGAGAGAGACAGAGGAAGAGAGAGAATCCCAAGCAGACTCTGTGCTGAGGACAGAGCCCACACGCAACTCAGTCTCATGATCCATGAGATCAAGACCTGAGCCAAAATCACAAGTTGGATATTTAACCTACTGTGCCACTCCGGCGCCCCTCATTGTGGTTTTGTGTTTATCTTGTGTATCTTTCCTTGTATTTATTTCTAATTTTATCTTCTTGGGTGAAGTGTTGATCCAAATCTTCTGCTCATTTTTCATTAGTTCTTTGCTTTCTTATGATTGACTTTTAAAAGTTCTTCATATACCCTAACCATGCTGTGTCCAATGCCTGTGGACTTGTATATGACTCTTTTAATATTGTAAAGATGCTGATGTACAATTTTTGTGTGTTTATATGAACACATGTTCCTAGTTCAAGTCCTAAATGATGATATAAAGTGAAAAAAATTAGAGTTCTTTATATATTCTAGGTACAAGTTCTTTATCAGATATGATTTGGAAATATTTTCTCTTAGTCTGCAGTTTGTCGTTTATTTGCTTAACAAATGTCTTTTGAAGAGCATAAATTTTAAAATTTAATGAAGTTCAGTTTATCATTTTGTTCTTTTATAGGTTATGCTTTTGATGTTTTATGTAGGAAATCTTTGCCTAAAAAAGTCACAAAGATTTTTCTTCTTTGTTTTCTTTTAGATTTTTTTTATAGTTTTAGGTTTAATATTTAGGTCTATGATCCACTTGAGTCAGTTTTCCTCCATGGTACTAGGACTGGATCTCAGTGAAATTTATTAATTAATTTTGCATATGGATATCCGGTTCTAGCATTATTTTTATTTTATTTTTTTTAATTTTTGTTTGTTTTATTTATTTATGATAGGCACACAGTGTGAGAGAGAGAGAGGCAGAGACACAGGCAGAGGGAGAAGCAGGCTCCATACACCGGGAGCCCGACGTGGGATTCGATCCCGGGTCTCCAGGATCGCGCCCTGGGCCAAAGGCAGGCGCCAAACCGCTGCGCCACCCAGGAATCCTGCATTATTTTTATTGAAAAGACATTCTTTTCTCTACTTTATTATCTTTGTACCTTTGTCAAAAATCAGTTTGTGGGGCACCTGGGTGGCTCAGTGGTTGAGCGTCTGCCTTTGGATCAGGTCATAATCTGGGAGTCGTGGGATAGAGTCCCATATCAGGCTCCCAGGAGGGAGCCTGCTTTTCCCCTCTGCCTATGTCTCTGATTCTCTATGTCTCTCATGAATAAAAAATAAAATAATATAAAGTCTTAAAAAAAATCTGTGTGTGTGTATGTATATGTGGATTTATTTATGGACTCTTTTCTATCCCACTGATTTTTTTTTTTTTTAAAGTAGGCTCCACATCCAACATAGGGCTTGAACTCATGACCCTGAGTTCAAGAGATGCATGCTCTACCAACTGAGGCAGCCACGCACCCCCTGTTCTTCTATCTTGATGCCAATACCTTGCTGTCTTGATTATTGTAGCTTTAAAACAGGTCCTGAAATTAGGTAGTGTTAGTTTTCCAACTTTGTTCTTCTTTTTTAGTGTTATTCTGAGTATTCTAGGTTCTTTGCATTTCCATAGGAATTTTAGAATCGCCATGTCAATTTCTCCAAAAACACAGGTTGGGATTTGGATTGAATTCCACTGAATGTATAGATCAGCTTGGGAAGAATTAACATCTTAACAGTCTTGAGCTTTTTACTCATAAACACATGGTGTTCTTCCATTTATAGATCATCTACTTTCTCCCAATATTTTTTATAATTTTCAATGTACAGATCTTCTGCATCTTTTCTTAGTTTTATTCATACTACTTTCATATTTTGATGCTATTTTAAATGTATCATATATGGATTTCAATTTCTGATTATTGATGCTAGTATAGAAATACAAGGGATTTATTAAAATAATAATTTTGTGTCCATAACTTTGCTAAACTCACTTGTTCTAGTAGCTGTTCATAGATTCATCAGATTTTCTACATGGATGATCTTGTCATCTGCAAATAAAGTTTTACTTCTTTCATTCTGATTTGGATGCCTTTTATTTCTTGTCACATTGGCTAGAACATCTAGTACAATGTTGAATAGAATTAGTGAGAACAGGCAACCTTGTCTAATTCCTGTTTTCAAGGGGAAATAATTTAGTCTTTCATCAATTAAGTTTGATGTTAGCTGTAGATTTTTTTTAAAGATTTTATTTATTTATTCATAGAGACACAGGCAGAGGGAGAAGCAGGCTCCATGCAGGGAACCCAAGGTGGGACTTGATCCCGGGTCTCCAGGATCACACCCCAGGCTGCAGGCAGCGCTAAACCGCTGCACCACCGGGGATGCCCAGCTGTAGATTTTTTAATAGATGCTTTCTTAGGTTGAGGAGATTCCCTTTTATTCCTGGTTTGCTAAGGAGTTATTGTTGCTTTTAAATCAGGAATAGTTGTTGGATTTTATAAAATTGGGTTTTGGATATTATAAAAATTATTTTTCTGTACCTACTGCTATAATCCATGATTTTTAAGATTTTATTTATTTATTCATGAGAGACACAGAGAGAGGCAGAGACATAGGCGGAAAAAGAAGTAGGCTCCCTGCAGGGAGCCCGATGCAGGACTCGATCCTGGGACCCCGGGATCATGACCTGAGTCAAAGGCAGATGCTCAACCACTGAGCCACCTAGACACTTCAATCCATGATTTTTTGGGTCTATAATTCCTATCCCTGTGCTTTCAAGTTCATTGATTTTTTTTTCTCCAATGTCAATCTCTTAACCCCATCTAGTGTATACTTCCTTCAGATATTTTCATCTCAGAAATTTGATTTGGGTCTTTAAAAAAAATTTTTTTCATGTCCTCACTTAATTTTTTAAGCACATGAAATAAAGTTACAGTAATGGTCTTAATATGCTTTTCTGCTAATTCTAACATCAAGCCAGTTTGGGGTTGGTTTTTATTGATTTATCTCATATGGATCATACGTTTCTCATATGGATCATACTTTTCTTCTTTACATGCCTGGCAATCTTTGGATGCTAGACATTGTATATTTTATGTTATTGGGTGTTGGATATTTTTGTATTCCTATAAGTATTTTGAACTTTGTTCTGGATGTCAGTTACAGTTTGGTCCTTTTAGGTCTTGCCTTTTAAGACTCAGTAGATGAGACTAGAGCAGCATTTAGTCAAGGGCTAATTACCCTTGATTACTGAGGCAAAAAGCCTTCTGAGTACACCACCCACAATGAGGCTTTCTAGATTAGCTGGTTGGAACAGGCACTATACCTAGCCCTGTGTTAAGTGCCCAGTCCTGTTCCTGCCAGCCCCTTCAGTTGATGCTTTCCCCAGCTTTGGGCAGTTTTCTCACACAGATGTGCTAATTAGTACTCTGCTGAATAATTAAAGGAGACCCACTGCAGATATTTCTGGATCTTTTTCTGTGCAGCTGTCTCCTCTCTTTTACACTGCTCTGAGAATCTCCTGGGACTCTCAGCTCTTTTTCCTCAATTCAGGGAGTCTGCTGAGCTTCAAGTTGTTCCTTTCCCTACATCATGGCCTGGAAATGCTCCTAAAGCAATAATCTGGGGGCAGTCATAGGATTTATATCACTTGTTGCCCTCTCTCAGGGACACTGCTCTTTGTTGGCTGATGTTCAGCGTCTTAAAGATTGTTACATATATTATGGGTTTTCTTTCTTTCCTTCCTTCCTTCCTTCCTTCCTTCCTTCCTTCCTTCCTTCCTTCCTTCCTTCCTTCCTTCTCCCCTCTCCTCCTCCTCCTCCTTCTCCTGCTTCTTCTGCTTCTTCTTCTTCGCTGTTTCAAGTGCAAGGGTAAATCTGATCCCTGTTATTCCATCTTGATTGGATAGAGGTTAGGAATAAAATTTTAAATGGAAAACTACCTAAGAGTAAAGTGATATAGCATATTTAGGATCTGTACACCAATTTCATTTATGTCCATCCATTCGGTCATAGCTATTTGGAAAATCCTCATGGCAGCCACTCCTGCAGCTATGTTTTGGCCCTGTTACTTGGGTGATCCATAGCCATATACAGCAGTGGTAGGTGCAATGAAATGGAATGATACACATAGACCCATGGGGGGTGTCCAGAGCCTTCAATTCAAGCTCCTTTGGGCACCTGGGTGGCTCAGTGGTTGAGCATCTGCTTTTGGCTCAGGTCATGATCCTGGGGTCCTGGGATCAAGTCCCACATTGGGCTCCCCACAGGAAGTCTGCTTCTCCCTCTGCCTATGCGTCTGCCTCTCTCTGTGTCTCTCATGAATAAATAAATAAAATCCTTAAAAAAATTCAGGCTCCTTTTCCTTCTTGGTTGGGAACCAGGAGGAGATTCAGAAATTTGAAATGTAAACTCATGATATCTCAATTCCACTAGTGTTCTCCTGAGTTTGGTTTATAATGATGGGGCTTGCTATCTGATTCTCTTTAACTTGTTATGTTTTTCAACTTACCTACAGTGTCTGATGATTCAAATCTTTTTATATGGAAGTGAGCACAGTAAAAGCAGAGACACAAAAGACCTCCTTACCTTGTTGCAGAGGTGAGTTCTGGCTCTGGTCATCAACCAGGTCATCTGTGTGGGTATGTGGATAGCATGGCCTTGCCCAGATTCTTTCAGCTAGGGGTGATCACCTCTGTTATTCTTGCTATTAAGGCAGAATGCCAACCTCTGCTATGGTTTTGGCCAAATCCTGTGGTGGTAACTAATTGATTTCTAGTAGTGTCTCAGAAACCAATGTTCTGAGGGTCTTCTGCAATAATATTTACTATTTATCCTATCTCTTTCAATGCTGAACATTGGAACCAAATCCTACAAGAGAGTTTCTCAGCTGACAGCCTGTGACAGATCCAATATGGATTTCTATAAAGTAAATTAATATGTTAAACTTGTTTTTTCTTGCTGCATATATACAATCTTGGTCCTTCAATATAAGGCAAGATTTTGGGGTAGGGGACAGGATTTAATCTCCAAAGTTAGTAATAAAAGAGTGTTTTGCACAGACTTGCCCCTTATTTATCTATTTATCTTTGGCATATTGTTGCTTTTTGTTCATCTCAGAATCATGTTGACCTTGAAATATTCTCTTCTAAGAAAGAAGAGAATTAAAATTTGTTGGGTGTATACTAAGCGCCTATGACTGAACTAGGTCCTAGCTGTGAAGTATTTAATCCTCAAAAATCTCCAGTACGATAGCTCTCATTTGATGGAAGGGAGTCCAATGTTCTGCAAAGGAACTTGCCTAAATATACTTCATCTTGGAGTAAGTGGTGGCCCAAGCAAGTATGACTCTAAAGGCCATGTGCTTTTCTCCTTAAAGCCTCTAATAAGCCTCTAATTCTCCTGCTTCATCAGTATCCAGAGGAGGTTCTCTAGCCTCTCTAGTAATGCCCATGTGAGGATGGTGTATAGGGAACTTTGCCCCCTACCTGCTAATGTGTATGAAAGTATATTTTCCTGGTCAAGAACTATATATAGGGACCCCTGGGTGGCTTAGCAGTTTAGCACCTGCCTTCAATCCAGGGTGTGATCCTGGAGACCCGGGATCGAATCCCACGTCGGGCTCCCGGTGCATGGAGCCTGCTTCTCCCTCTGCCTGTGTCTCTGCCTCTCTCTCTCTCTCTCATGATTAATAAATAAAATTTAAAAAAAAGAGGGGGAAGGGACAGAGGGAGAGGGAGAGAGAGAATCCCAAGTGGGATCCATACCCAGCACAGAGCCTGAGTTGGGGCTTGATCTCCCTCCCCTGAGATCATGACCTAAGCTGAAATCAAGGGTCAGGTGCTTAACCTATTGAGCCACCCAGGTGCCCCCATAACAATATTAATAATATTGTGTAATTGTATAATAATATTGCACTGTAAAATACATATACTATTTCTAACCCACAAATAATCCTATTAGGGAGGTGTTTTTATCTCCCATGTGCAAGTGATAAAACTGAGAATCAGAAAGTTTGAGTATCTTGTTTTAAATCACCTAGCTGGTAAGTATAGTGAGACTTGAACCCACACCCCAGTGCATTTCAAAAATGCACTTCTTTTTTACTATGGAATGGGGATTCTCACTTTGATGAATTTGAGAATACATATGGAGAGGCCCACTTATCAGGGGAGCCTCTGGAGGTGCATTTTACATATGGAGGCACTGAGGGCTGATTTTTTTTTTTGAGGGCTGATATTTACACAGAAAGAGGTGGAACTGGGATTTGAAACTAGGTCTTTCTAACTCCAGATGTGGTCTTTGTAGGCAGTGTAGCCCACACTCTGAAGGCAGACAGACTATCTGAATTTAAAACTCAGGTTCCAATCTCAGTTCCCTGATGTAGGCAAACCTTTCTTGGCCTTTGTTTGTTTAAGAAAATAACAGTACCTTGCTCAAAAGGTAGGTTTTCTGAGAATAAGATTATATATAATACACCATGCCTAGATCAAGTCCTGGCAGGTCTTGAATGCTCGGTGAATGTTGGAATAATCATAATGATGATAATGTTAATCTTTCTGAGATGCTGTAGGTAATAGGCCTGAATGTTTAAATGAGAAGTTTTTGTGTAGCATGCAACTATTATTATTTTATTTTACAAGTAATGAGTAAAGAGCATACATAACTGGATTCATCCCTGTTGGCTTAACCTGCCTCTGTCACTTACTAAGTATGTGGCCTTGGGAAAATCATTTAACCATCTTGAACTTTGGTTTCTCCATCGTTAAAATAGATAATAGTATACCACATAAAGTTGTTGTGAGTTTTAAATAAAATAATGTCTAGGACATGCATAGGACCAAGCCTGGAAGACTGTGTGCTTGCTCAGTCAGTGTTTGCAACACAGCCTTCACTCCCCCTTCTCCCTCAAACCTGGAGCTAAAGTTCTACTCAGCTTGTATTTAAAAAGAAAAATTAGGGAGCAGCTGGAGTGAATGTACTTCCTTGGTAGCCTGAGGTTTTCCTTCCCCGTCTTTCACCGTTCCTTGTTTCTTGTCCATGGTTTGAAAAGAATCAGAGGAAGAGCAGAAATTAGGAGGAGCTGGTATAACCTAATTCAGACCCCAGGTAGTATGAATTTCTTTAGGCACGTGGAGACTAATTCTCTCTGTAAATGACAATGAGCGCAGGACCTGCCAAGAAAATTGAGATAAAGAGGAACAGTCTTTTGGAGGACTCTGCTGCAGAAGTTGAGTCAGTAGAGGTTTTTCTTCCACCAAAACAAGCCCATATCTCATTCCTCAAGAAGTGCTGAGCAAAGCCATAGGAGTAGCTGCCAAAGCCCAGATGTCAAAAAAAAAAAATTAAAAAACCAGTACAAGAATTGTTCTCTTTGCTTGAGCATCTCACTGGAATGATCAATCCCAGATGTCCTGGAACTCGGCGAGTTTTCCAATGAGCTCTTGTGCTTTTTACCCCACCTCCTATGGAAACCCAGTGACAACATCACTGGACATTCATTGCCAGGAGCCTCAATTCTTGGCTTTTAAAGCCTCTGCAAAGAAGTGAAAGCAGAAATGGCCCCTTGAAATAGGAGTTGATTGTAAGGTTAGATGATAGTTGCAATCCTCAAGTCAGATTTTAGTGTATTGAAAAGGCACAGAAAATCTCAGATTTTGGAATAAACTTGTACCTAAATCACAAATGTACTTCAGTTTTAATTACTTACATATCAGGCTCCTTCTAAGTACTAAATACTAATATTTTTAAGATAGAGTCCTTTCAGTAAAGCAAACACACATGACCAGATGACTAGTGTAGTAAAGCATTAATAGAAATGTGAACAAAGAGGACAAGTAATAAATTGGGAGACTAGAAATATGGGTGGAAACTGTGTATACACTGGGGGCAGGTCGCTGAGTCTTCAAAGAAAAGTACGATATCAGCAGGAAGCAGAGAAGCCAGAGGAGGGCATTTCAAGTAGCATGAACAAAAAGTACAGTGGCATGGAGAGAGTTGATATTTCTGAGGAAACACAAGGTACATGAGTAAGAACATGCTGGACATGAGTTTGGAAAGATAAATTAGGGTGAGATTATGGGCTATTTTATGTGCCATGCTAAGGAGTTTAGAACTTAGTAGACAGAAGTATTTTAACAAGATACAACATGATAGATTATTGGCTTTACGACATTAACTCTGACAGCAGTGAAAGGATAGATGGGACGTAGGTGATTTTAGAAGCAGGGAGATCAGTTAGGAGGCAGATACAACAGTCCAAGATGGAAGTGTTGGGAGCCCTAATTATCTAAAGCCATAATAGGAGGAAAGTGGAGAGGATGGATTGAGAAACAATTTGTGATCTATTCTAATAAGACCTTAGAGCCAATTAGATGTGAGATGTAATAGAGGCAGGAGTCATAGGAGACTTTGAAGTTTCTAGCTTGGACATTTGGGTGAATGGTAGTGCTACTAAATGAAATAGTGTTGACAAGTGGAGATCATCCTGGAGGATGTCTAGAGGGTATGAGGAAGATGATGATTTCTATTTTGGATGTGTTAAGTTTGAGGTACCCACAATGCATCCACTAGACAATGTCTAGTAGGCTCAATGGTTCAGGAGCTCAAGGACATGGATTCTGAAGTGAGGGGAATGGATCAAAAACCCATGGAATAGGGATCCCTGGGTGGCACAGCGGTTTAGCGCCTGCCTTTGGCCCAGGGCGCGATCCTGGAGACCCGGGATCGATCGAATCCCACGTCGGGCTCCCGGTGCATGGAGCCTGCTTCTCCCTCTGCCTATGTCTCTGCCTCTCTCTCTCTCTCTCTCTCTCTCTCTCTCTGTGACTATCATAAATAAATAAAATTAAAAAAAACCCATGGAATATGTATATATGAAATGAAAGGCTTAGGAGAAAACATTTGTACTTATTTTAGAGATAATATATGCAATATTATTTGGAATAAAGACAGGGCTCAAATTTAAGCTTTCTCATTTGCTGTGAGACTTCTTATGTCTTCCTTCCTTCATCTAAAAAGTGTGAAGGGGCACCTGACTGGCTCAGTTAGTAGAGTATATGGCTCTTGATTTAGGGGTTGTGAGTTTGAGTCCCATGTTGGATGTAGATACTTAAAAAATTTTAAAAATAATCTTACAAATGTGAATAATAAGAATTCTATTTTCATTGCTTTACTTAATATATGGCATTTGTAAGCTTCTGTAACTGTTAATTGTTGTAATTACTATTGTGTTATTTGGGAGTCATGCAGACATTTCTGTCTTCCTTGTAGATTTTATTTTTAAAAACTTATTTATTTATTTATAGAGTATGGGAAACAGGGGGGACAAGCAGAAAGAGGGACCAGCAGACTCCGTGCTGAGCTGGGAGCCCAATGCAGGGCTCCATCTTATGAACCTGAGATCATGACCTGAGCTGAAATCAAGAGTCAGAGGCTTAACTGACTGAGCCACTCAGGCAACCCTTAGAATTTTTTAAATAATAACAAAACAGTAGAAAAAACTCAAATGTCCACCAGTAGGAGCACCAGTACATGTTTATGGTCAATATAACAAGTTCGTGTTTATAATCGTATATATGGTCATTCGAAAGCATGAAGTAGAGCTTTGAAGAGTTATAGATATATTGCAGATATATTATTAGCGGTAAAAACATGAAAAGTACATATTAGTGAGTATCATATATAGTATAACCCATAAATATATATAAATATGTAGTTTGTAAAGGTAACAGTAACTATCTCTGGGACATAAGATTGTGGAGGGCTTTCAACTTCTATGTTATGTATTTGTGCTGTTGACTTTTTTACATAACAAATATGTATTATATCTGTAATAATAAAACAGATAAATTTTTAAAGAGTATGGCATGTGTGTCAAATATTAAGAGACAGTGTAATGTAGTGTTAAGAGAATGGACTATAGTCAGATACCAGCTCTTATTTATTAGCTATCTGACCTCGAACAAGTCACTTTACTCCTCAGTTTCCTTATCTGTAAAAAATCTATAAAATGTGACTAAATTAATGGAAGTAAAACTGCTCAGAAAGAGGCCTGATAGAGGCCTATGTGCTACTTAGAGGTGGTGCTGATGATGACGCTGATGATGATAGGAGGACGAGGACTACTAAGAAGCCAGTATGCTGGCAAATAGAGAATCGCCACTGACATTCGAGCAAGCTGTAGTGGTAGAGCAGATTTTTGAGATTACCCCAATAATCCAGCACCTAATTAAACACCTCCCCAAATCAGGAACTCACTCATCACCTGTCGAAGTGGCCCTTTCCTATACTGGACAGTTCTTATTGTTAGAAGGTGTGTAAGAGTCAAGGTCATGGACGTTAGAGTCAGACTGACTTGTGTTGGAATCCAGGCTCTGCCATTTTCTGTGTGTCACAAGGCAAGTTATCCTAAGCCTCAATTTCCTCCAGCGAGGACCAGAATAGTATTTATAATATGGAAACATAATGAAGAACAAATGAGCCTTTTACATAATGCCCTTAGCACAGTGTCTGGCTTATGGTCAATAAACACTAGCTCAATAAATAAATATTCAATAAATACTAGCTAGTTTTACAACTCGAGCTAGTCATCCAGACATATTGGAAGTATGAGAGTATGGTGCATCAACTTCACTTTTGTTATTTTTTAACATTTCTAGGACAGCCATTTGCCAAAGAGCTATTTCGGTTATTTCTTTTGATGGGTCTTCAGATATAGAAGCCAGCAGGAGCAGCAAGGAAAACCATCCTTTTCTCTTCCCAAGAGCGGGGAGAAGGAATGCCCATTGATTAATGGTCTGCTGTCCCCTCGGTCATGTGAAGACAGAACAGCCTCTTCTGGGCCGGGGGGGGGGGTGCTGGGGGGTGGGGGGCGAAAGCCAAGGGACGTAGGATTGGGAGCAATTCTGGCCAGAGAGGAGTGCATCAAGGGAGAGGGTAGATGAGGTGCGCGGTCAGGTCAGCCTTGGGCAGGACCTCAGTGATGAAATTATGCTCCGCCGGCTGGTTTTCTGGATGCGGCCCTCCTGTTCTTTTCCTATCACTTATCAGTGAATATTCCAACGCTGCCTCTACAAAACCAGAGGGGAGAATATTCGGGCAAACCTCGGTGTATGAGTCGTGAGAGGCAACTCTGCTCTTGTGTCCTGGTGCCAGGTCAGGGGTTCTACAATCTACAGCCTCTGTCATGTCCACAAAAATGGATTGATAGGAGGATACAGTGTGGAATAGGCAAGGAGAGCAGACAGTTTTCATCTCGTGGGCCCACTCTATTAGTGGTTTCCTAGAGTGATGCTTGCTTGACGTTCCAGGGCATCAAGGGCTTCGTGGAGCTGATTTATTCGTATTGTCGTGGAGTCTGGGTGGGGGGGAAGGCTGAGCCACTGCCACAGATCTGCTATTTGGGCATAGCGACACGAGCAGTGTACTTTGAGTGGAGGCACCTCATGTGTGAGGCCCGACTCCGCCATGAAATAGCTACATGACCCTTGGTCGCCTACACATTGTTTCCTCATCTTCACTCATTTCTTCAACAATTATCTTTGTGAGCACCTACTAAATGCTGGGTGCGGTTCAAGATGTGGGTGCTAATAAAGTTAAACTCGGTCATGACTCTTAAGAAACAATCAAGTAGGAGAGGCAACTAAGAAGAAATGATGAAAAGATGAATGAGTCCTGTAGTAGAAATCTCAGTGCAGTGCAGGTGGGAAGGAGAGACAGTCTAAGAAAGCTGGAAAAAGACTTCACTGAGAGGGTTACATCTGAGTTGTTTTTTGAAGGGCAAGTAACAGTTCATCCAGGTGGAGAAGAGAAACCATTCCAGGAAGAAGGAACTGTATATGCAAAGGCCCTGAGGTATGACAGAGGACAGCGTATCGGAGCAATGGTAAGTTCTTTATGGCTGCCATACACAGTAGCATTTTCTGGAGGGTACTGCAAGGGTTGCTGATTGCAAGGGATGTTGCACTGCCTACATGGAGGAGGGAGAAAGGCTCTGGGCAGATTGGTTTAGGGAAAAATAAAGTAGGATAAATAAAGTGACACACGTTCATTTCTTGGGCTTCTCAGAACTTTCAATATACTAAACTCCCCCATTGGCATGTTGAAAACAAATTAATTTTTTTTAAAAAAGACTGTATTCCTATACACCTGAATTCTTTTTGAAATGGTCAGTGATTTAAATTTTGGCAAATAAAAGAGTCTTTAGAACCACAGTAGAAAAACTAAGAAAGATTTGGTTTTATTTTAAAGCAAGGGGTACTGCAGCGCCTGCTTGAACTGAGGGTACGAGAATGCTTTTATAGTTTGGTAAAGAATCTGGGCCCCACTTCAGGACATAATAAAGTCTGTGAACACGACTATCTCACCAATGAACTATTTTATCTGATCACAGAAACATGACTTCAATACATCCCTGTGAACTAATTTTTCTTTATGATTCATGGCGGCTGAGAGCTAGCTCTGGAGACAGACAAATTTGGGTTCAGACTCCATTACCACCACTTTCTAGCTGCATGTTACCCTGTGTCCTCATCAACAGAATGGAGAGAATAGTACCTGTCCCTTAGTGTTGCTGTGAAAATAAAATGTCTGGAAGGTCGTCAGCAAGGTGCCCGGCCCCGTAGCAATCATTTGACAAATAGCAGCTATTTTTATTTTTCCTGAAGCTGGAGCTTTGAGTTTCTTACTTTCTAGTTACAACATGGGTGCACGAAGCAAAAGGAGGTTGGTAACTATTGTTGCTGAAAAGCTACCACCAGGCTGGTGTGGAAAACATTTTGCTGGTTAACATCTCAAAAGTGAGCTGGAGCTTATCAGCGCTTGGAAACAGTGTGACACAATGCCTTAAGCCCAAAGAAGATGATGTACACGCTGTGGCTGGAAATCAGTGTCCTTTCAGTGACCTGGAGATTTCAGGCAAGGGGAATCCTGCCACCTTGTGGCGGGAGGATAGTAGGCCCCGGGCAGATTTCTGCTCCCTAGCAGAGGTCCTTCAGATTTTTGCCCACCTGATTTTATGAGACCCTGGGCAATTGACTTAATTTGTGCAATTGTTCAAATTTCTTCAGATTTGAAACCACATTATCTCTTGGTTTACTGAGAAGGAGGTTAAAGTGCCAGATAGCTTTCTGTATTTTATGCAGTCAGTAGTAGACAGAGAATGAATTAGTCTTTAGATGGAACTTGCATATCATCTAAAAAAAAGTCTTGTAAAATTTTGGGTCTCATGTTTCTGTGGAACAAATACTTTTTTTCAGGCAAATAGGGGCTATGAAAACCACACTTTGCAGGCTTGAGGTCTAAATAGGAGATGACTGAAGAACACTTAATAGAAACCAGGTTTCTGGACCAGATTTCTTTTGGACCAGATTACTTCTAACTCCAGCTCAACTTCTCCAGTATTAGAAAATCAGAGTATGGGAATCTTAATGGCTGGAAATGGGGAAGATAGATCCTCTTTGTAGCACTTAACAGGGCCTCCGGGTTCTAAAATCTGTGTGTTCATGAGATCACCTGAAAACTATGAACAACGTAAGAGACCCTAAATTTTTCAGCTGTGATTAAAAGCAGTTTTTTCAGCTGTGATTACAGGCAATCCAGGTATCTAAGACATCCTTGGCTGCCATCTGAATCAAAGGAATTGCTCCCTGCTCTTCAGGGAGAAAAACTAAGACTCTAGAATCATTTTAGAGGCCTATTAGAAGAGTCAGCATTTTTTGGGGTGTGGGCACATGGTCAAACAGTTGCCCTCAGACTGAGTTCAGCCAGCTAGCTTAACAAAGCAGTGATTTGGAGCTGGCCGAGAAGGCAAGAACGAAGACAAATGCACAAATGGTTTTCTGCTTTCCTTTAGGTCTTCCATTACCAGTAAATTGAAAACCTCCACACAAGATAGCCAACAATAAAGCCGACCTGTTGATAACAAAAATTTTGGATCACAAGACATATTTATCAACTTTGATAGCCATGGGAGATCAAAAGCAGAACTAAGGACTGTAAGGGGGGGGGAGTCTACTTATCAGCATTACAGGTAAAATACTCAAGGCTCCTTAGAAAGTAGGAATCCTGATCTATAACTTAGGGTGAGGAGGGGGGTTAGAAATCTTTAGAAAAACGCTTTTAGTTTCTTAGTGGCTGGGACTCCAATACCTTGCTTAATTCCCTTTTATAACTCAAATTTCATTTTTTTTTCAGTTCTGGCTTTTAAAAGACTCTGCAATATCTAAGTAGTTTATTGGTGAATATTTTAATATAATATTTGTAAGTACTTTTAGTCATAACCTGTTTCAGGTCACTAACACTGCCTTGTGAAGAAACACTTGATCTTCTGAAAACATTTGCCCTGGTCTCATGCCATGTTAAGAGTCAGAAAGGACTTTTTGATTCTTACTATAAATGAAGGAGCTAGGGACAAGATAGACTGATTTGTTCAAGGTCAGCCTGGTGATTATGAAGCTGATTTTCTGAATCACAGATGATTACTTCCCATCTCACTATGCTGCCCCCAGTCTCAAAGTGGATTAGAGAGACTTGTTATGGCAGGAATGTTCACCAAGGTTGTTTTTAAAAAAAAAAAATCCTGACCTTCCCCCCTCCTACAACCCCAAACAAATGTGTATCTAGGAAAAAATGTTGGCAATCTCAAATTATGTCCCTTACTGTCTTCATGTACCCAGGGAGAAAAGAGAAATTAGATTCCTGTGAGTTTACAATATAAACTTTTCTTTTCCCTCTTCATCGATTCTCAATTACATCAGCAGAATTAATGGAGCTCCACGACTGTCTTTGGGCATCCAAATGCCTTCTAACAACAGCTCTACTTCGTGCTTGTAAGAACCACATTTTGGTTCTTCATTCAAAAAAATGATTTCGGTCCTTTGTTCAGTCTGTACAACCTAATGAGCAACCAGTACCCAAGCAAGGTGTAGTGGGGAGTAGTGTGCTGCTGTGGCCTAAGTACATATATACCGATTAACCCCCGGCTTGTCTGTAGACCAGTAGTCTTCCTCCTGCAGGTGTGTTCCCCCTTAGCTAATTCCCAGAGTATGTTCAGTCTGGGACTCAGGGCCAGGGTCCCAGGTTGCAGCCCTGGCTGAAAGCAGCTATATCCCACTGACCTTTTCTGCAGGCTTGTGAACTGGTTGCCCAGTCTGTCATTGCTAATTTAGCCCTCTCTGGAGATGGGGCTGCTCTTCTTACCCAGAATATTCTGAACTGACTAAACGAGCCTCAGAAGCATTGCTTCCATTTTCACATATCCAGATGAAAATGGATTTTCAACAACGACTGTGATAAATAAAAAAACAAAAGTACTGGACAGGACACTAAAATTTTTTAAATTTCCTATTTTGGGAGACCCCAAAAGTCCAAAAGTCTTAAAATCTCTAGACTGACAAATGTGTATCAATGAAGAAAAGCATGAGTGTAACACTAAAATAAAATGTTATGGTGTAATTCCGTTTTTGCATTTGAAATAGGTTTTAAATATTTAAATATTTCCTGTGTTTACCATCAATGCAAAGTTGCTAATAGTCCATTTTGTGAGATTTTGATGTTCAAATGTTTAATGAAATGGTTGTGATAATGAATGGTGGCTAGTTTTAATATCTTCATAGCTGACAAAATGACAAGTTGTTACTTTTGTTGGTTCTAAAAGTTTTAAAAGTTTGGTATCTTGTGAAATTCTCAAGTTTTAAGAAACCATCTTGGAAATAGCCAACTCAGTAAAACCGAATATAAAGTTGCATTCTCTCTTGGAAAACTGTGGATGAGAACTAAATTCATTCAATGGAAACCAGCAATCTGGATAATCCACCCCAATCAAACACTTGATGTTTCTAACAGATCGGAGTCAATAAGGTCATTCACAACTTTCAGATTCTTTTTAAAGTAACTAACAGGCACTGAAAGTTTTGAGGTGGATAAGGGTTAGCTATTTTCCTACAATCTCTGTCAAATTAGAAAAGAAAAAAAAAAACAATCAAGCCCAGATCAAACTGTCCCACAGATTTTATTTTATTTTACTTTATTTTTTAAAGATTCTATTCATTTGTTCATGAGATACAGAGAGAGAGAGAGGCAGAGACACAGGCAGAGGGAGAAGCAGGCTCCATGCAGGGAGCCCGACGTGGGACTCGATCCCGGGACTCCAGGATCACGCCCTGGGCCGAAGGCAGGGGCTAACCTGCTGAGCCACCCAGGGATCCCCCACATACAGATTTTAATAAACATTTTTCAGCAAGCATAGTTTATGCAACCTGTTCCTTTAGGTCAGTGAAGTCCTATTTCTCTGTTTTGGTAGCTCACACACCAGTAACCACGAAAGGTCTACTTAACGCAAACTTCACAATATTCCAGAGGTGAGATTGTCCTAATCCAGTCAGCAACAAGCAACCAGAAGTCCTTGGACAAAATGGCAGGAAGCGTGACCATTTAGGGGTCAAGCCTAGGCACCACGCCTAACTGTATGGGCTACAAGCCTCACTAGATTCTCATGTCCTTCCCATGCAGGCATAGGGAACTACTCTGACGTAATTTAATCATCTCACACTTCCTGAATACCTCTAGTTTTGCCCATGAGAGCCACTATTATTATCTATCATATTGGTCAACAAGCTATTAATTTCAAAAGTAAAACCTACTTTAAACATTTAATCTACTAATTACCAGAATCTCTGGTGGTAACTGAGAGGGATAACACAAATGCCTGGAACAGCTGCCCAAGGCACCTCTGATTAGGGCACCAGCTGTCTACTCCTGGAGCGGGGAAACTATGTTAGAGCTGCCAGCTGCTCTGGGTGCATGTAACCCGACTTGTGTGTGAAAACAGTACCTATGATAGAATTAGGAAAAGAAAAACTACTATAGAATTTCCTCAATTTCTCAGGACTCCGTAGATTTTGCTTCAGGTGGGGACAAGGGGAAGTCAGTGTGAAGACAGGGAAAGTAAGAAGGGAGTATGTTGTTCTGAAAAATCCCCCAGTCTAAACTGTTAAGAACGCCACATGATGCCCTTTTAGCAATTGTAACAAATTCGTACCAGGACTACTTGATACACCACAGAAACTCTGTGGCTTCTTATAAAAGTGATTATGGGGCAGCCCTGGTGGCTCGGCGCGGTTTAGGGCCGCCTTCAGCCCAGGGCGTGACCCTGGAGACCCGGGATCAAGTCCCATGTCGGGCTCCCTGCATGGAGCCTGCTTCTCCCTCTACCTGTGTCTCTGCCTCTCTCTCTCTCTCTCTCTGTGCGTCTCTCATAAATAAATAAAATCTGAAAAAAAGTGTGTTACAAGACTTTTTATTACAAAGGTAGAATTTTAAAAATCCTCTTATTTTTTATTTTGAATCATTTCATCAATTCCAGGTGGAGGCGTACCATCATCAAACACGGAAAAACATTAAAAACAGAGAAATTAACTACCTATTCCTGTAGTGAGCACAATTTAATAAGAAAATGAGATAAACTTCAAAAACAGCAAAACTAAAAGTCTAAAAAAATAAGATTCTATTTTTCTGTGTGTGTGACACGTGAATTTGTAGTCTCCATGCCTCCTGGTCGGCCTGAGAAAGCACTCCCCCTAGCGGACTTTCATAGGAATTTAAGCAAAGTTAAACTAGTAAATTCCTAGGTCAAAGAGAACACACTAAATAGGAAATTCTGTTAAATCAGTACCGTGAAGTTAGTGTGATGTAGAAACAATTACACTCGTTAGCTTATGAAGCATAAATAGCTAACGATATGTGCAGCTAAAATGATTGTCTTAAGTGTGCAAAAGTCAGTCTCTCCCTATGAAACCAATATATATTTTAAATTCTTCACAGGTCCAACTTTTAAAAAATACCTTAGATTGAAATCAATTCAGAGCTCAATAATTGAAATTAAATAGTGACTAATAAGATGCTAAAAGATAACCTGAATGGAGGTTCTCTCATCTAACAAATATTTATTGAACATGTTATATATTAGGCACTGTTCTAGGTATAGGACATACCAGTGAACAAAAGCCAAAAAGAACTGCCCTATTTTAAAGGAAAATTATAGTCCTTGAAATTCTGACTGATTAAATATTCTCATAATTATGTTTTAGGTTTCTTCTGTTCTTGATGTTTATCTAAAAAAGTATTTGTACAACATTTAGTAGATTCATTCATTTCCTTCTTAAACGTGTACTACACTTGACCAAACTCCAACTCTTTTTGTGCCAGCTGGCATCCTGAGGTTACCTGGGGGACTTAGTAGTTATCAGGTAGTGACTCTGGGCTAGACACCCGGCCTGCCCATGGACTTGGGAGCAGTGCCCACAGCTGTTCTGGGGGAGCGTTTTCCTGAAGTGCTTTGTTTGAACTACTCTCCAAACTCCTCTAATGCCATGTGGCCTGTTTTAAGGCAGGATTCCAAATACACCCTTCTGATGAATGTTTCTGATGAATATTAACATTACTCAACTGTTCTTTACCACAAATACCAGGGTTTGGGGGGGGGGTCACAGGTCACAAAGACAAAGACTAGCATTAGTAGGTAGGGGCTAGGGAGGCCCAATGAATCCTGCAATGGGATGAGTTTTTTCCCCCATGAAAAACTGTCTCACCCACAAAGGCCAACAGTGCCTACCCAATGAGCTGTTACCACACAGCTCATTGGAACTTTATTTCAGTTATATATTTTTTTCTACTAGAAAACAAGCCAGATAATCTTAGTATTGCATTTTATTAGATATCTACACACCATAAGAATTGACTGAAAATTACCCAAGAAAGTGCAAAACCACTTAATTGCTGGTTTTCTACATCTTGTTTGGATGAGAAACTCTTATGGGTGAATAGCAGGTATCTAATATGTACTTACTACAGTACTTACTGCACTGAACAGTGGCAGAAAACAAGAAGAAATTCTGTAACTCTGGTCTGCTTTATATCTTGTTCATAGCTTTCTTTAAAATACATACTTTAAAATAAATCATTTTAAAAAATAAAAAAATAAAAATAAATCATTTAATTACTTAGACTTGTTGGCAAAGCCTAAACTTCAGAACATTTGGAAAGAAATCACTTGTAAAAGCAATAATTTCCGTGCAATTAAATGCATTAAAACAAAAAAAAGTATCCTTCAAAACAGTGGTTCTCAAACTTTAGCATGCATCAGAATTTCCTGGGGTTAATTTTTCTATGCTACAGACTGTTGGCTCACTTCCAGAGTCTCTAACAAGATTCCAGGTAATGCCAATGCTGTTGGTTTAGGTGCCACACTTTGAAGACCCACTGCATTAAGATATATTCTTCGCAATTCAAACTCATAAGCAATACTTACACACCGCTGCCTTTTCTAATAGTAAATAAATAAAAGAACATTTCAGGTATGGATTCATCAAATGTAAAGTTTTTAGACTCTTGAAATGTCTGACTTAAATAGATTATTCATCTTGGCTCATAATGATTCCCATGAGTTCAAAAGACGGAACCACAGCATAGTCCAGTAGTGGGTAATGTGTGACTCCATGAAAACATTTACTTACAAAATACACAGCAACTATTAGGATACATGGACCTTGTTCCCATCTCCTCCAGCTTCTTCCCTTTAGAAAAATCCAATTATCATGGAGATACTAAACCCAGAATGAGAATGTGATCTATTTCAGGTAGAGATCACAGTGAATGCCATACTTAAGACTCTGATTCAGAAACTTCTTCATCAGGGCAGCAGTAATATTCCACAAAACATATCTGTCCATCCTCATTCCTAATCATATACTGTAATGAGAGAAACCCTCGGTTATCTGTTCGGATAGATACCTTACACGACAGGACTAAGGCCTTTGTAGAGGGTTTCAGTAAAGAAATCTTGTATCTGTAGAGGAGTAAATAAAAAGCAGTTGTTATTTGGACATGCTTCAAGCAGTGCTCATAACTCCAAGTAAAGGACAAAAATTAGCCAAGAACTACCAAGTAACAAATATAAAAATAAAATAAAATATTTGTCCAATGTGCTAATATTTTTCATTTTTACAATTTCATCCACTATCACAACTCCAAATCCCCAGGTAAACCCAGCACTCTACTAATCATTTAGATATTATACCTTTAGCAAGATTCAAAGCTTTACATTTATTTAATAGATATGCGATATTCACCATCATCACCAATATATTAAGAACTGACCTGTTGACCTGGGTTTGGTTACACTGAAATGATTCCATCAAATCAGAATCTTTGGGATAATCAAGATGGGAGCTTCCTGCATTTCCAAAAGTAGATAACCTACAGTAAAAAAAAAATGAGCGATTCATTTATCCATTGGTCCAACAGTAAGTCCCATTAGGATCTCAGTAAAGAAGACACTTCCTTAAGAAGCTCATTCTGGTGAATGAAACAGATACGTAAACGAATGCTGACAATACACTATACCAATGACAGTAATAAAGATTCCTGCAGGGTGCAGTGGGAGGTCAGAAGATCTAGCAACTAATAAACAGCTTTGGAAAAATGAATCACCTAAGGAATCCAGGGTTGTTTGCCTGAATTTCATTACCTTAATTCTATTCTGATACCTTTCCCCATCCTTAAATCAGAAATAATATAAAAGGAGAGAGCTGAGGAGTGATGGAAGACCCTGAGCTAACTCATCAGCAAGCCTGGAGTCCTATTCCCCATCCTTACCGCCACACCCAGGAATCCTGGCTTTTCTGTATCTTAGACCTCTCTTCAGGCTGTTTCATGGTTTTTCTTGCTTGGCAGTATTAGTAGGTTGTGTGTAGACAATTTGTAAACGTAAAGGTTTGTTTAATCTGCAAGAATGTATTGATTATTTGCTGTGGGGTTAACACACTGGTAAGTACTGTGAGCACAGTGGCTGCTGGTCTTCCTCAGGCACCACCTTTTCTCTCCTCTAATGTAACCTTTCTCTGAGCCATCTCATCCATGCCCAGCCATGACTGACTCCCAAATCTAAATTTCCGGTCTAGGAACGCCTGGGTGGCTCAGCGGTAGAGCGTCTGCTTTTGGCTCAGGGCGTGATCCCTGGGATCCTGCTTCTCCCTCTGCCTATGTCTGCCTCTCTCTGTGTCTCTTGTGAATAAATAAAATCTTTAAAAAAATAAATAAATTTCCAGTCTAGACCTATCCTCTGAACTCTGTATGTTAAACTACTCCCTAGTGTTACAAACACCTCAAATTTAACAGATCCAGAGAAAAATTTCAACTCCCAGTTCCACATGACCCAATCACTTCTCATACTGGAGATGAAAGATACCATGATCCATCTAGTTACCTGTGTCAGCACAGGCATCACTTAGGTGAGGATCCTCTAAAATATGCTGTTTAAGCGCCCAGAATTTTCATTCATATCACTGTTTAAGTAGGGTTTCTTTGATTACCATTTTGGTTAACAATGTAACCAACCTTGATCCAAATTTGTAACTGCCAAATGTTACAAGGACCCACAGCTTCTAGAGTAGATGTAAAAAGAACATTTCTTTCATATTTTTTCCTCCTTTACACTTTAATATTCTGATGTATTTCAAAACAGAAGAACTATTTAAATCCTCTCTCCAAATGGATTCTAATCCTGAAAATTTCATAATTTGTTGGTTCAAAATACCAGGAACAGCTTGATAGTTTTTGACATTGTATTTCTGCTGAAAATTGCCCTCCCTTAGGAGCTTACCTTGATCAATACCCCCTAAGTACTCAAGTACTGTTCCCTAGGCGTCTCTGTTAATTATTTTGGTACTTAGTGGCATGCAATTCTGCTCCTTTTATGCTGTGTCATATATTTCTTCTCTTCATCATGATTTTAAGCTGTTCCTTTCTTAGGGGCTTTGAAACGTAGATATGCACACAGGAGGTGACTAATAGATACTCACTGAATGAACCATGCACAGAAAACATCTGCTTCCTTCTGTATCCTGTACTAACTTGAAAGAGATACCATATGATACAAACACCTTTTCCAAACGTTTAAGACCAAATTTTCCTTGTGATGTAACTTGATCTATACCAGTAAGTAGTACAATGAAAAGACCTCTAGTTTATGAAGTAGGAGACTGGGCTACTGACCTACAACCCAAAACTATGAAGCTTTAAATACTGAGTTCATCTTCCTGGACCTTAGGTTTCCTGATTTATAAAACTATGAAGAGTAAAAGCTCTCTAAAGATCTGAAAATTCTACGAGCTGAGATGATAAAAATTTTGCATCCTGAGCAAATGTGTAAACAGAGAAAGAGCAGACTACAATATTAACTATAATTGCCCTCTGTGTTCAAGTACCTGAAATAAGGCTTGTCGGGAGACATGGTGATCTGTAGGACCTCACTCGTCATATCCAATTCAGAAAATGCTTCACGGAGCCCCTCTGACTGCAGAATAATTTTATTAATAACATTGGTGCTGCAGAAATCAAAATCCAGAGTCTCCTCCGGCTCCTGAGTATTGATTTTGCAGACTGTCACCACTCCTCCTTCTTCTAGAAATAGCATCAAAGGGTAGCCATAACCTTGGTAACACATCCGAAGTGCAGTTAAAGTCCCTGCAAGGAAATAAATCATACGTTGGGCTTAGCTTTATAATGTATGCTCAGCTTCTTAAGATTCTTACAACTCTTGAAGATTATTCTATTCTGCCCAATTTCTAGCATATATCTATATATACATATCTTTATCTCCTTATAAGAAGGGATCATATTTTCCCTGATGACATATGTAGACAATTCAAATAATAACAAAACTAGGAACCAGCACAGAATTTAACTCTTTGAAATCATTTTCCGGTTTGCCAAAAACACCTCAGAAATATCTTATTGATTTTATATACCTACAATTTTCAGAATGAAGAATCTACATGGACCAATATTGCAAGTAACAGAATTACTGCAGAATAAACTATGCTCTTTCTCAATGGTACAATGTGCACAACAGTAGACTGCTTTGATAATGTCAGTGTATCTACTGTGTAAGGACCCTTCCAACCTTTTCTATTGGGAGATACTATTTACATTTCCTCAAACTTTAAGATCAAATTGAGAGAAAAAGAGAAGGTGGTTAATGGTAGTGTGGGTTTTAACACTACAAATCACTAGCAGAGGAGGAGGAATAGGATGGGACATTCTAGCTCCTTCCTCTTACTAGATGGAGAGCTACAGTGAAGAAGAACAGGGGAAGGCAGGTGCTTTTATGAAAAACCAGCTAGGGAATGCTGCATTAGAAAAATGTATACTTAACAATAACAGAATTGTCAGTACAAAATTAAAACATATTTTCTAAAGAACCACAACTGAATTTTCCCTAGCTAATCTCCATATTCCTTTCCTGTGAAATAAAATCGTTCTTCTGGGGATTCCTTGTAGTTTTATATCCATAGCAACCGAATTCACTATTCCTAAAAAAAATAAAACATGTAAATATTTTAAAATTAAACATTTCAGGAAATAGACAATTTATAAATAGGACTTAAAGAAATAAAAGCAAACACTTTTTTAACACAGTAAACTAGGTGTGAGAATTAGTTTCTGTTTTTCTCTGCCACTAAACTATAATTCTGAACAAGTTAGGGGAAAACACCATTTAATACATATTTTACAATGTTAAAGATAATACACATTCAAAGTCTTCTCTTGGTCAGTTCAAATTTAAAATCCCTAAAACTGGAAGTCCTGGCTGGCTCAGCGGTTGAGTGTCTGCCTTTGACTCAGGGCGTGATCCCGGGATCCTGGGATAGAGTCCCACATCCGGCTCCCTACAGGGAGCCCGCGTTTCCCTCTGCCTATGTTTCTGCCTCTCATGAATAAAAAAAAATCTAAAAAAAGAAATAAAACCCCTAAAACTTTGTAAATTAAAAAAATTATAAACACTTTTGTAAATATGAAAAGAACACAGCATACTTCCTATTAATGTGAGAAGTTGAAATCCATGATCATGACCAATGATAAATTTGCAATTTCTAAGATATTGTTTATTACTTCTAATAACTTCTCCTGTATTTTTCTGACCATTTGTATGATGCTTTTGTGTCATTATAATGAAAATAGAATGGTTCACCTGGCATAGGACTTGATCCAAAAATAGATAAACAGTCTAAAAGGATAGTTAAATTTATTCGAAAAGTAACAGACTCTTCTTGAACTATAAACTCTTGAAATATTCCAGCCTGTGAAAAAAAGTAAACATAAAAATGTATGCATACTAATGAAAACTCACATAAAAGTTTCTAGATTTCACTTTATATGTTTTAAAAATAACAATGTTACGCTAACCCCATGAAAATAATTTCTGATTACCGATCAAAACATCTTAAGACTTTTTTCAACTATTATTAGTTAGAATACTACTACTCGGTAGTTAAGGCATAATTGATTTCAGTACCATGCAAAACTTCAGGAAAGGTCCTTCATCTAGGTTCTTGGATCTAAACTATTGTCCCACGCGACTTCCCCTTGTCTCACTTCTGTGGCCATCAGTAGGGCTCAAGTCCTTCGGAAAACAGCCAAACAATCTGATAATGCATCAGTGATACCGATTTTCAATTTCTTTTGAGGACAAGAACCACGTCTTATCTATCCCTCTATATCTGAGGTTACACTATGCACTTAAGTGTCAAAAAAAAATGTTGGATTAAATTTGAAATCCTATGTGAACCATACATATATCACTTTGTAAGGAGGGATTATAACCAATAAAAGGGAAAAGGGAAGTAGTCGCCAAAACCATATACTGTGGAAACAAATGTTTGGGTTCTCATCCCAACGTGGCCACCTGCCATCTGTAGGACTGTTGGCAAATCTCTTAAAAGACGCCTATTTCGGGGCAGCCTGGGTGGCTCAGCGGCTTAGCGCCGCCTTCACCCCAGGGCATGATCCTGGGGTCCCGGGATCGAGTCCCACATCGGGCTCCCTGCATGGAGCCTGCTTCTCCTTCTGCCTGTATCTCTGCCTCTCTCTCTCTCACCCTGTCTCATGAATAAATAAAATCTTAAAAAAAAAAAAGTTATAAGAAACAGGCAAAAATTAATTTAAAAAAAATACGCCTATTTCGGGGATCCCTGGGTGGCTCAGCGGTTTGGCGCCTGCCTTCAGCCCAGGGCACGATCCTGGAGACCCGGGATCGAGTCCCGCATCGGGCTCCCGGCATGGAGCCTGCTTCTCCCTCCTCCTGTGTCTCTGCCTCTCTCTCTCTCTTTCTCTCTATGTCTATCATGAATAAGTAAATAAATCAATCTTTAAAAAAAAAAAAAAAAAAAAAAGACGCCTATTTCGGGCAGCGCGGGTGGCCCAGCAGTTCAGCGCTGCCTTCAGCCCAGGGCGTAACCCTGGAGACCCGGGATCGAGTCCCACGTCCGGCTCCCTGCATGGAGCCTGCCTCTCTGTGTGTCTCTTACGAATAAAAAAAAAAAAAAAGAAGAAGAAGAAGATGAAAAGAAGAAGAAAAGAAGAAAGAAGAAGAAAGAAGAAGAAGAGAGAAGAAGGAGAAGAAGGAGAAGAAGGAGAAGGAGGAAGGAGAGAGAGAGGAAGAAGAAGAAGAAGAAGAAGAGAGAAGTAGAAGAAGAAGAAGAAGAAGAAGAAGAAGAAGAAGAAGAAGAAGAAGAAGAAGAAGAAGAAGAAGAAGAAGAAGAAAGAAGAAGAAGAGAAAGAGACGCCTATTTCCATACCTGAATAAAAGCATTGGCTTGCACACACTTTGCATTCTCCACCGTAACCTTGATTCCGTTTTTAGTGGCGAAACACGTCGCATGTTCTCGGAAATGAATAGCCTTCAGGACAGTGGAGAGATTCCTGACGTTGTCAAGGCTGGCCACCAGGCTGTAGTCGCTGTCCTCTTGGGTCTGTGGGGTTAGGAGGGGCATCGCCCTCGGCTCCTGCGGCCCCAGGGGATGCTCCCGGTGGCCACACGCGCCGCTGCGGGTCGGCGAACCCCTGAGGACCGCAAGACTCTGGGTCAGGGCAGGCAAGGCCCGCGACGCCCACCTGCGCCGAGGCGGGCGGGGGCGGCCTGGGCGCCCAACTCCGCCGGGCAAGGGCTGAACCCCACATCTGCCACTTCGGCTCTTCGCGACTTTGGGGGGAGAACGACTCCTCCAAGCTACGATTTCCCGCCTCTGGCAAGGGGCCAGCACCACAGGGCAAGTTGTGAGCACCGCAGTTCCCCGGGGGGCGTTTCCGCGCCAAACCGGGGCTCCCCGCCCCGCCAACTCTGCCCCTAACCAACAGGGATGGGGCGCGGGCCCAGGCAACCCCGTTCCCCGGCCTGCACACACGCGGCATCTCTTTACTAGCCCCGGGATCCCGCGACGCGGAAACCTCACCTTTGTGGCGGGATCCGGGCGCCAGGGAGCCCGCCGCGCCTCCCGGGCCGCCGGGGAGGGAACGCTCGGCTGGCTCCCGCCGCTCTTCTCAGACCCGACGGCCACCTCGGCCACCGTCACCACAGAGCTGGAGGCGGCCTAGAGCGCCGCGCCTGCCCTACCAGAGACCGGAAGAGCGTGCCACCGAGCCGGGGGACCGCGGGGCCCGGCGCAAAGCACCATAGAGATCGGAAGGGGGAGCGAGCGGCCGCGCCGGAAGGAGAGCCGAGACCGAAGGCGACCGGGCAAGATGGCGGCGGCCAAGAGGAAGCGGCGTGGGGGCCTGGCGGTTCAGGCCAAGAGACCGAGAAAGAGCGAAGAAGATTCCAAGCAGCCAGCCAAGCTGGGCGACGTGGCAGAAGAGGCGGAGGAAGAGGAGAGAGGCCGTATCCCAGGCCCCGTGTGCAAGGTAGAGAGGGATAACCTCCGGGTTGCACCAGCGCCTGCGGCTCTGGCGCCTTCCCTGGGGCCGCCAACCTCGTGAGAGCTTTGCTGATTTCGGAGTTGCCTGTCTGTTGCCAGAGCTCGGCCTCGGCTCTCTTTCCCGGTCAGACGGACCACGGTGCTTACAGCTGGTTCTCGTGCACGTGGCCGCCCTCGCGGAGGCCGCGGCCGAGGAAGCGGGCGGGCCTCGGAGCTCTGGCGGGGTTCGCAGGGAAGCGGCCTTTGGGGTGTTCCGCCCCGTGGTGTGTCGTCTGCTTCATTTTTGTCTTCTTCTTGGGGGGTGTTACTGCCTTTCCTTTTAAAGTTATTTCTCGCTATCGGGTATAAATCTTCCAGTATCTAGTCAGCTACTGTCAGTCGGGGATCCTGAAGCTTGTTGAGCGTCCTTTAAAGAGTTGCTGTCCATCTATCCACCCACCCACCCATCCATCCATCTAATCTATCTTGCTCTTCCGCCGTAGTCAGCTGCTGTCAGTCGGGGATCCTGAAGCTTGTTAAGCGGCCCTTTAAAAGACTTGCTGTCCTAGGGACAATGATTTTGACTGGCCTGATCAGGTTTTTAACTCTTTTTTTTTTAATTAATTAATTTATTTATGATAGTCACAGAGAGAGAGAGAGAAAGAGAGGCAGAGACACAGGCGGAGGGAGAAGCAGGCTCCATGCACCGGGAGCCCGACGTGGGATTCGATCCCGGGTCTCCAGGATAGCGCCCTGGGCCAAAGGCAGGCGCCAAACCGCTGCGCCACCCAGGGATCCCAGGTTTTTAACTCTTAAGGGATGTTGGAAGCTAGACTAGATAGAATGAACTTTCCTTGTATTCACACTTCTGTAATATGTCAAGCGCTGTCCGCAGTCAGGCCTCCTCTGGCTTTGGGATTGCTAAACCAGAATGTGACTTCCGATAGTGTTGGGAGTTTCGAAGGGAACTAAGAATTCATGTAAGTTTATGGTTTGTATTCAGAAGAAGGCGAACACAAGTTGTTGGGCCTTCCTTCCATTCCTTACCCTAGATTGGATACTGTGGAGGCAGAAATGGTCTTTGATTTATTTCTGTTTTGGTTCTCTTTCAACTTTCCTGGCCCTTAGCCTAGTTAGTACTCTGGCAGGTCGTAGGTGATAAATGACAGCGTACGGTGGAAAGCACTAGGAAAGGAGTTAGCTCTGAGGAATGAAAGGCGAGTTTAAATTCTAGCCCTGCCATTAATTAACGTCCATATTTTGAGCTCCTCTGTCATCTGCAAACTGAGAGGAAGAGAATGTGATTTAATTTTTGTGAAGAATAAGCTGGACTTCTAGAAGATTTTCAGTAAATTGTTAGTGCTGCTACTCTTCCCTTAACCTGGAAGGAAACATGATAGTATATGTGACCTGAGTCATAAAATGAGAAATTCTGTGGAAGTACAGAAGATAGAGGTTACTCTTACCCTAAGACAAGTCAGGTAAGGGATCATGAAGGATCTAGCCCTGGCGCTGGATCTCAAAGTAAGCGCACAATTTCAGAATTCAGTTTTCAAAAATGAGAGGGAACAATACAGTGGCAAAGAAGAAAAAATGATCAAAAGCATTGAAGCGGAGGAAAAATGCTGAAAATCTGAAAAAACGAGCCATGTTAGCTCAAAGGTAGGGTTGATTTAGGGCAATAGTGAGGGAAGAATAGAGATGTATTTTAGGATCTAGTGTTAAAACTATGTTCTTTGGAGTTTGTTTAGAAAATCCTGGGAGGCTAAGGATATGATTGAAACAGTGCTTTAAAAAAAATTAAGCTGGTGCTTGTTGGCCAAACTTAATTGGAGAAACTCCTGTCTGGGAAGGCTAGCCATTTAGGAGATTTGAGATGATAAGGATCTGAATTCAGGCACTGTGAACGGGAATTGAGTAAGAGTTCTTTTGAGAAAGAAATTGACAGCATTTGGTAGTGCTTATGATACAGGAGAATAGGGCAAATAGATGATTCAAAACCTGGGGGATGGAAATGATGGTTGCATCGTTAGAAAAATGACAGGAAATTTACCATGTTTAAGGTTTAGTATTCTAGAGTTGAATTTGAGGTAGTATTAAGTCAAATACTTGGATTATTAGAAGTGGTGAGAGTTCTTTACATTTCTATACATTTGACAGTTGAAGCTATGGAATGATTAAGAGAACTCACTTCTGGAGAGAAGAAGAAACCAAGAGAAGGCTAGGAAATATCTTTATTTTTATTTTTATTTTTTTTTAAGATTTTTTATTTATTTATTCAGAGAGAGAGAGAGAGACAGAGACACAGACACAGGCAGAGGGAGAAGCAGGCTCCATGCAGGAAGCCTGACATGGGACTCAATCCCGGGTCTCTAGGATCACACCCCAGGCTGCAGGCGGCGCTAATCCGCTGCGCCACCGGGGCTGCTCAGGAAATATCTTTATAGCATCAGGGGAGGTTTTGGAGAGATGGAAGAAGGAAAAACAAAAGTGAAGAAAGACAAGGAAAGCATTTCTGGGAGGCAGTCATGGTCAGTGAATACCACTGAGCGATTGTCAGGATTGTTTGGCCTGCTACCTGGAAGCTTTTTATGATTATTAATTTGTCTCTACTTACCTTATATACAAGGAGTTAACTTTTCCATTGGCTGTGTTATTTTATTAGAACCAAGGGCTATTTTAGCTTGCTTTTTAGATAGGGGATCTAAATTTCATCTATAAGATAAAATTATAGATATAACTTCATCTATAAGACTTTATTTCAATAAAGTTTGCTTTTTTGCATCATCACATGATGCCATGATGGTTTGCCATGTTGTGGTTATCTGTCACATACAATAGACAAAATGAAAATGGCAAAGCATTGAAATAAGGGTTTCACACTATTCTTGCCTCCTTGTTGTTTTGTTGTGTTGTGTTTTGTTTTAATTTATTTATCCATGAAAGACACAGAGGGAGAAGCAGGCTTTTTGAGGGGAGCCTGATGCGGACTCACTGTATCCCGGAACCCCAGGATCATGACCTGAGCTGAAGGCAGGTGCTCAACACTGAGCCACCCAGGCATCCCACCTCCATGTCTTTTTTATTGCTTGCTTGTTTTCTGTTTTCCCATATGAGAACAGTGCCTGACTCCTGATAGGAATCTAGTAAATATTAAATTAATATTAAAGTTTTCTTGTGAAAGGAATTTTGACTGAGGAGTTTGAAATCAGGAGTGGAGGGTAGTCCGGGTGGCTCAGAGGTTTAGTGTCGCCTTCAGCCCAGGGCCTGATCCTGGAGACCTGGGCTCCAGTCCCACGTCGGGCTCCCTGCGTGGAGTCTGCTTCTCCCTCTGCCTGTGTCTCTGCCTTTGTCTCTCTCTCTGTTTCTCTCATGAATAAATAAAATCTTAAAAAAAAAAATGGAAAGATTGTATATATAGTTAAACATCTCAGTTCCCTGAATTATACACACGAGAGAGAGAGGCAGAATTAAGGATATAGTCTTGATACATTAGAGGATGATGGAGTATTTAAAAACTAGATACTTTTAAATTATCTTTAAAAAACCAAGGTAGGTTCAGTATGAGCTTTAAAAATTTTAACATTTTCTTTTTCTTTAGGGCAAGTGGAAAAATAAGGAACGGATTCTCATCTTTTCTTCCAGAGGAATAAATTTCAGAACAAGACATTTAATGCAAGATTTGAGAATGTTGATGCCTCATTCTAAAGCAGGTGCCTTTATATCATACACTTTAAAAGTTCTTATTTATAAGCTTGTCTATATATTCTCACTTTGAATTATTGTTTAACCTTGTCATTTATTCAGCCTTATCAGGTAAAGAACTCTGTTGCCTCAGAACAGTGATAAGGTTTTTCCAATTCACATTTTGTTAGAAATTCTTTGCAAAATTCATTAAACATTCCCTTCACTTTCTCAGGTATCCTACTATTATCAAAACATTTCTTGAAGGTCCAGGAATGCCTTCATTGTAGTGCTCTCAGAGGTGATAAGCTGATTTGTCCTTCCAAGTAATTGGTGACTGCCATGTATTGCTATCTGCTTTTTTTTTTTTTTTTTTTTTTAAGGTTGGCTCCATACTCTGGGTGGAACCCAAGCCCAATGCAGGGCTTGTACTCACACACAATGCTGAGATGGACAGTCATACTCTTAATCACTGAACCATCCAGGTCCCCCACTATGTGCATTAAAAAAAACAAAAACCTGTTCTTATTTAAAAGTTAATGGACCATAGTGGGATTTGAAGCACCTTTAAGTTGGGGCTCAGCCTACTTCTAAATACCAAAATATTCTTTTTAGTGATGGTGTATCTTTCAGGCAAACGAAGTTTTAAGTTAGAACTGTGGCAGTACCATCATACAGCTGTTTTTGTGCCTTTGTTGAGGGGAGCTTTTGGCTTTAATTCTAGATAATAATTTTGTTTCTTAGACCACTGTTTCTCAAACTGGAGTCTGCTGTTACATCTTCGTATCTCTAAAACTAAGAGATTTAATTTATATTGTTTTTTTTTCTGTGATCTAAAACCATTTTTTAATCCATTTTCCTGACAACTGTGATTCAAAATTGAAATAAATTTTCTTCAGTGAGTGTTCCTTAAACTGCAATCCTAGAACATAGTGTTCTGTTTGTAAGAGTGTTTCCATATTTGAAAGGGACTTATAGAACATGTAAAGTTGACAGGAGACCACTGCTTAGAACATAGTTTATGATTCTTGAGGACTGTTTTCTTTTATTTTTTTAATTAAGATTTTATTTATTCATGAGAGAGAAGCAGGCTCCATGCAGGGAGCCCGTTGTGGGACTGTTTTCTATTCAGTCATTTTTATTAAAAAAAAGTAACAAGATTTTTAAAGAGGTCATGTGTTTTTAGGCCTAATAATTTTGAAAATTAATAAAATCTCTTAAACTGAAGATTGTAAAAACAGTACTTTTTTAGAAAGCTTGTGTGATTTGTTTGAAGTAGCTTTGAAATCTCTTTCTTTTCTTTCTTTTTAGATACAAAAATGGATCGTAAAGACAAATTGTTTGTCATTAATGAGGTAATTTTAGATAGTTCAAGTAAAATATAGGAACACTATTTAGGAATAAAAATATTTTGGGACGCTAAAGATGTTCATTATACAATAAGGTATTCAATGACTTTTAAATTGTTTTGTAAAAGATAGCTCAGACATATTAACTCTTCAATGATTTGCTTATAAATTTTTATATACTCACTATCTCTCACAGTTTAGTGATTCAGTATAAATTATTTCTTGGTCATTCTTATATTTGTCTTACCTCACCAAACATTGACATTTCTAAAGGACAAAGTTTCTCTTTTATTTTTTTTTTCTCATCAGGTACAATACAGTGCTAAATTTATAGTGGGTACTTATTTTAAAAACTACCAACATGTACAAAATAAATTAAAAGTCCATTAAATATTTTTAAAACTACACATTTTAGAAATGTTTTTGCCAGTATTAAAAGTGATACACGTGGTATTTGCTCTTAATTTTTAAAGTATTGTTGAGGATACTAAACTTTTATTTCTTACTATTTTTTAAGATTTTATTTATTTGAGATAGAGCACAGCAGGGGAGGGGCAGAGGGAGAGGGAAAAGCAGGCTTCTGCTGAGCAGGGAACCCAATATGTGGGGCTCCACCCCAGGACCTGATCATGACCTGACCCGAAGGCAGACACTCAACCAACTGTGCCATCCAGGTGCCCCTAAACTTGTATTTTAAAGCCAACTTTTAAAAATTTAGAGGAATTGTATTTTTAGATCATTTTCTTTCACTATTAGAAAGGCTTCTTTTATTCATTTAGCTTGAATTTTTGAGCCCGTGCTATACTATATATGGCCTTACTTCAAGGCTGTGAAAAATGTTTTAACAGAACAATGCCCCTTTCGTCCAGTTGGGCTTATATTCTAATGGGGGATTTAGTCCGCAAACAAGTATGATTTCAAGTGAAGATAAGTGAAAAACACAGGGTCTGAGTTTCCAGCAACTGAGGCTAAACTAGAAAACAACCAATAAGTGTTGGTTGTTCTAAATCCAATAAGAAACAAAAGCAGTGGACCTAAGAGTTTTTTAAAGTTGTTAGGTTTAAAGTCTCAAGTAGTTGAGAGTTGATGAATGCTATATTACTTTAGGAATATTACAGTAATATAAACTGTCAAGATGTAGAAGTTTAATTCAACTTAAAATAGGTTTTCTAACTTTTGCCTTTCACTAGTCCCTTAGTGATTTCACAGAACTGAAATCAAGAAATGATAGTATAGATTAGGAAGAAAAATCTTAAATTTCTTAAACTTAAAATCAGAACACTAAAGAGTTAGAAATAAAAATAACCATTATAATGGGTGTAGTTGATTCTTGAAGGACTGTGTGTCCTAAGATTGGTGAGGCTAATTGTAGTGTGCTTTATCCCTAAGGCATCCTTTTTTACTCTGTAGGTTGCACATGGGAGTATGGTGGGAGATAGGGTTCCCAGTGAACAGAAGAAAGGCCAGAGTGTCTAGTTTGCCTTAGAATACCTAAGAGGGATTTTAAATGTTTCTTTTTGTGAATTTACCTAGATTTAGACCTTTGTAGCCTATTAACTTGCTTAAGTATTTTTGGGGGAATCTAGATATTGATGCTTTGGTTCTCATTTTTATTATGTAGATATTAATGCTTTGGTTCTCATTTTTATTATCTATTTCATGTTTCTATACTTTGTTTAGGTTTGTGAAATGAAAAACTGCAATAAATGTATCTATTTTGAAGCTAAGAAAAAGCAGGATCTCTATATGTGGTAAGAGAATGTATTGAGACTTAGGTGGAACTGTTCTTGTAAATGGACTTATTTGTATCTCTTAGGTTGTAGACTGCTTTCAGTCTTCTATGTAAAAAGATTGGGCCAGGGGATGAAGCAAAGTCATTTGATTTCACAAAAGTTGAAACCTTTAAAGAAAATTTAATTTATGGATGTTATAAGCACAGCATAATGTCTTTTAAACTGTGAAGTAGTTTACTATATTCTAAATTCTATTTAGTTGAACAATTTCATGTTTCTCAGGCTTTCAAATTCACCTCATGGACCATCTGCTAAGTTCCTTGTTCAAAACAGTAAGTTGACTCAATTTAATTTTTTTTTTTTTAGTTTAAAAATTTTTTATGACAAAATTGAAAATCATGCTTTTGGGATAATTGTGCCAAAGTTATAGCTACTTTTGTTATATTTTTTTCTAGTTCATACCCTAGCTGAGCTAAAGATGACTGGAAACTGTTTGAAAGGTTCTCGGCCCCTTTTGTCATTTGACCCAGTAAGTTTCTCATTTAGTGTGTGAGGTCTAATTTTCTTACTCTGCATAGTTGTTTAGTGGACATGCTTGTGTAGTTCAATTAGTTAAAATTTAAAAATACAATTTTAAAACACTTGTCAAATAATATGTTCACTTTATTTTTGTAGGCTTTTGATGAATTACCACATTATGCTTTGTTAAAAGAACTCTTAATTCAGGTAAATATCTTTTCTAGAAAGTATTTTTTTTTTTTTTTAAATGATAGTCACAGAGAGAGAGAGAGAGAGAGGCAGAGACACAGGCAGAGGGAGAAGCAGGCTCCATGCACCGGGAGCCCGACGTGGGATTCGATCCCGGATTTCCAGGATCGCGCCCTGGGCCAAAGGCAGGCGCCAAACCGCTGCGCCACCCAGGGACCCTAGAAAGTATTTTTAATAACAGGAGTATCTCTGGACTTTTTGTTAATTAGCTACCTGAAACATACATGATATGTGGTAGAATAAGAAATTAACATATCTTTTTTTTTTTTTTTTAAACTAGATCTTTAGTACACCACGGTATCATCCCAAAAGCCAACCATTTGTGGACCATGTGTTTACTTTCACCATTTTGGATAATAGGATATGGTTTCGGAACTTTCAGGTTAGCTTTAATTAATTTTTAATTACACTTTGAAATGAAGTATTATATAGAATTTGTAGAAAATGCAAATAATTATTTCCTTTGTTTTATTTTATTTATTTATTTATTTATTTATTTATTTGTTTGTTTGTTTTTTGTTAAAGATTTTATTTATTTATTCATGAGAGACCCAGAGAGAGGGGCAGAGACACGGGCAGAGGGAGAAGCAGGCTCCCTGCGAAGAGCCCGATGTGGGACTCAATCCCGGTACTCCAGGATCGTGCTCTGGGCCAAAGGCAGGCACTAAACGGCTGAGCAACCCAGGGATCCCCCTATTTATTTCTTTTGTTTTAAATAGCTTTTTGCCCCCATTGACTTACAGCAATTAACAAGTGTCTCATACTTTACCTACTTCTCTACTTACCATACTTTACCTACTCATACTTTACCTACTTCTCTACTTACTTATTTCCAGGGTATCCGTTGGTATGGAGTAAGGGTTTTCTAAAAAGCAACTATATTGGGGATCCCTGGGTGGCTCAGTGGTTTAGCGCCTGCCTTTGGCCCAGGGCACGATCCTGGAGTCCCGGGATCAAGTCTGGCGTCGGGCTCCGGGCATGGAGCCTGCTTCTCCCTCTGCCTGTGTCTCTGGCTCTCTCTCTCAAGTCTGTCATGAATTAAAAAAAAAAAAAAGTCTTAAAAAGAAAAAGCAACTATATATGTTTAGCTAAATAAAAGTTTCTCCAAAGAGGTGGGAATCTGGGAGTGGACATTGTTAGGACTTAGAAAAACATCCCTATAGAATGCATTTACTGAGAATTCTAAGATGAGTCATACGGTGACTTATTTAGGAGGAGAGGTGATTCTGGAAATCTTGAAGCAGGAGTTTGGCAGAATAATAAATCAGAAAGGTAGAGAAGTGGAAAGAACAGCAAGACAGTTTCAGACAGCATATGAAGTAATCTGGGCTCATTCCTGCACGTGGTGGTATGTTGGACACCCTGCAGTGTGAGTTGAACATATCCCCTTAGCCTCTGAGGGCAGGCATACATGAACCAACACTGCTAGTATTTTAAATTCAGAAATTGCCTTTAAATTCACAAATAAATTGGGCCAAATATCCTTTTATATACCTTTTAACATAATTTGAATTAGATGTATAAACACAATTTAGGGGTTGACTTAAATTTTAAAAAGATTCTCCATAGGGTACTTTAATACATTTTGTTACAGTGGTCGCAATTTTAAAAATTCATTTAACCACAGTTTTTCAAGAATATGTGCACTGTAAGAAGCAAGATAAGGGCCAAATTGGAATTACTCAATTTGAAAAGAAACACTGAGAAAAACAGTAATTTTCCCGTGACAATTATCTCTAACTAGTAATTTATTTCAGAAAATAGTGAGAATTTGGCACTTGGCAGGTTTCACTTCCACCTTAATTTAATTGGTTCTCACTTCTTTGGGCCATAGTTGTGATGAGGTTATAGCTAGTGTATCTTTGAGGAACAATATATCCAAACCATAATGAAATGTTTCCTTTTTATTAAAGATCATTGAAGAAGATGCTGCTCTTGTAGAAATAGGACCTCGTTTTGTCTTAAATCTCATAAAGATTTTCCAGGGAAGTTTTGGAGGACCAACTTTATATGAAAATCCTCACTACCAGTCACCAAACATGGTAAGCTATTTTTGCTGTTTGGTGGTCCCTCAATGCCCAGAACTCTCTGGCCAGAATGATTCTGTCAAGCGATTTCTGTTAAGTATGAAACTAAATTTGTTGTTGTTGTTGTTGTTTTCTGCACACATTTTTGCAAATTACTACTTTTTTTTTAATGACAAGAGTGAAGGGGGAAAAGATGTGTAAGGGAATGTCCTCACCATATACTTGGAATGCATCTGATATTTTTTTTGTTTTTAGCATCGGCGTATCATAAGATCCATCACAGCTGCAAAATACAAAGAGAAACAACAAGTGAAAGATGCACAGAAAATGAAAAAGAAAGAACCAAAGACTATTCTTCCACATGATCCCACTGCTGATGTTTTTGTTATACCAGCTGATGAAAAGCCGATAGAAATACAGTGGGTAAAACCAGAGCCAAAAGTGGATTTGAAAGCAAGAAAGAAAAGGATTTACAAAAGGCAAAGAAAAATGAAACAGAAGATGAACAGTGGCAATGCAAAATGAATCAGTGGATAACTAACCTTTCAGTAATTTTATATTTATTTTGTATTCAGTGTGTAAATACGGTTTTATTATCCAGGACTACCTTACATCTCATTAGTGTGGCATTTAAGACAGAAAAACCAAATTAAACTTTGTGGCTTCAGTGTTGTGTATGTTTTTCTAAATATTACCAGAACTCATCAATTAATTTGTTTTTCTTTTCAAAGCTAGTTTGATATTACTTAAAATTCAGCATACTTCAGGTTTAGCCTTGATTTCTTGGATTTAAATTTTGGGTTTAGCAAAGCTGAAATTGAAACAGATTTACTGGGTCATTGCTACTTGTAAAACAACGAATTTTAGGCACTTTGAGAGCATAGTTTCGGACGGTAACATGCAGATAGACTGGTAGAAAAAACATCTTACTGAGATTGGAGTCCCTGAGTCACCAATGCAAGAGGCCTTGGAAAAGCCAATCCCTGATCTTTTTTTCTCACCTCAAGAAAGAGTACAATAAAAATTCTTAGGTTTAGAGAATCAAAGGATTTAATATATGTGTTGAAAGTATTTTGTAGATTACAAATTTAATTTAGAAGCAGTGGGTATAAATTGCTTGAGTTAATAATTAAGAGGAAGGAAAATGGAACAGTAGTTAGAGGGTACTGGAACATTTGAGTTTCTCTCCTGATGAAAGAACTGTTTGAGGCAGAAAGCAGGAAGCTTATATCCTGGAGGTCAGTTAGTAAGAGGGAAAGACAAGATTCTGGGTGTTAGTGGCCACGGACAGGTAGGTAGCTGCTGAAGAGGCAGACTGATTTATATACACATATCCATAACAGGATTGAATCATGTGTGTATTGTTCTGTGACCCACTTATTTCATATTAATCATTTCCCCATGTCTTTATTATAGAACATGACTAATTGCATAGTATTCCACTCTATGCCGTAACTATACAATCTATCCCCTATTGTGGGATATTTCAGTTATTAACTTATGGGTGCTTATAGCAAACATTTCTTGACGTAAATTATTTTATATCACCCTTGTGGTTTCCTATAAGTGGAACTCAAGTCAAAAGATACAAATGTTAAGACATGTATTTCACCAGAGGTCAGAGTTCATATACTTAAAACAACAGTGAAATAATCATTGTCAGTTTGGTAAGTTAAAAAAGAATACCTTTTTGGGAAGATAATAGTTTTTCTTTTGTGACTAATCTTGTTTTTGTAGTTCTCTTACTAATTTGTAAGAGCTCTTCTATGGCTGAGTTAGTCTATACATCTTTCCCAGTTCCTCACTTGTATTTTAATTTTGTTCTGTAAATCTGTAGACAGAACAATTGATTTTCTATTATATTTCATTTTTTCTTAATTTTTTTTCAAAGAAAGGCCTTGATTGTACAATGAGGCCACTTTATTTTGAAATAGTCTAAATTAGGCTACTTATCTTGCAATCCATATTAAGCAGGTAGGTCAGTTCAGAGGTTCACTTTTTTTTTTTTTTTTTTTTTAAGAGGTTCACTTTAAATACTTGTGTCTGGTAATGAAGACCAAATCTGGTTAAGTGCAGGGGGAGGAAAAGCTGATTTATTTCAGCAATTGAATATAGCCCGGGATGTAAAGCTGTAATTCAGGATTTGAATTTAAATACTCACATCTCAAGAAGTTAATTGTAGGTTATAAAATACTGGCTCAACAAGTTGCGAGTTTGAGTGAAGACCCAAACTTCTAACATATTCTGAGGTGTGTGTTGTAGAGTTTTCATGGAATTTTTTTTTTTTTTACAATTTTGATTATCAGTTTCTACATATTTCCCTGTCCCAAATTACTTCCCTTTTACAGTCATTTATAGGAGTACCTCATTTGAATGAGAATTCATCATCTTTATAGTCCATGTTCATTTAGAAGCCAACTTGTTTAACAAAGGTAATTCTTTAAACATTTATATCCAGTGTAATTGTCTTTACATTGCTGTACAATGTTACAGGCAAAAAGAGTTCCCTCTTCTCTCAGGAGGAAAAAGGCAGGTGACTCACAAGTCCTAAGCAAAACCAGATGTAGTTGGAGGAAAAAAGTTATTTTCTTAGTCACGTTTTATTCCTACCGCCAAGCCATTCTCAAATGGGGAGAGTTTCTATTTTACCCTGTATTCAAACTCCATTATCCATTGCCGATTTACAAACAAAGGTGGTGTGGTATCTTCCTTCTTTGAAAAGGAGGCAGGTGTATGAATTTTGAGCATGAGTTGGTTGAACAGTGGTGTGGAAAAACTTGATGAGGTTTAGGGTTGGTTGGTTTTGATTGATAGGGCAGAGTATTAGAGAAACGAGGGACCACCTTGAACAATAGATGTTAGCAACAGAGCCAAACCTCTTTATGCATGGTTGAGGAAACCTACACCTGACAACTGATGTATGTAAACATTCCGCATTATAATGAAATACATTGGTGTACATATTTCACCAACATATTTAAATGAGAATTAGAATACTATTTTGATACCTTATCAAATTGTTTGGAACAGTTGTAGGGATCTCCCATCCTGTAATACTCTTATCAGTTAGATCAAGGAAAAAATGGTGAAATACTAGGAAATGTAGGATCAGAAACCAGAAAGTTAGGATTAGAGAGGAATGGATGGATGGGTTAGCACAATTTTACCCACATCGGAGGTAAAACATTTGGTATGTTTCAAAAAATGTGTTGATGCTGTCTCACACTGTCCCAATTTCGGGCATCATATCTACCGTTATTTCTCTGCATATTGGTCAGATTGAGCAGTATTCGAGATCTCGATGAGTGGCGGCTGGAGAGAACTGAGGAGTTAAACCCGGTATTGGGTCCACCTGAATCCTGCCATTGAGCAGTTGGGGAGGCCTGAACGAACCACTCGACTACTTGGAGTCCGAGTTGCCTCCTCTAAAAACGGGGCTCCGCTGAGAAATTATCTTCAGAAAACAAGGTGTTTTCCAGAATCTCCCATCAGACTCCCCATCAGCCTCGGGCGGGCCGCCCACTCGGCGCTCCTTACACAGACGGCCCACTGTGCCCCTCACAATGACGCCCGCCGCGGCCCCGCCCCCGCCCCGCCCCGCCCCCGCCCGTCCGGGCCCCGCCTCCCGCCCTCCAGGCCCCGCCCCCGCCCGTCCAGGCCCCGCCTCCCACCTGTCCGGGCCCCGCCTCCGCCTCGCGCAGCCTTCCGGGAACCGGGCCCGCCCCCAGCCCATGCGGAGCCGCGGCCGCCGGCGCCGCCCCCTCCGCGCGCCCGCCTGCCGCAGCCCGCGCCGCCTGTGGCCGTCGCGCGCCGCCGCCGCCCCGCGCCGCCGCCGCCGCCGCCGCCGCGCTCGCTGGCTGGCCCGGTGCGGGCGCTGGGCTCCCGCTGCCGAGGAGGCCCAGCAGCGCCGCCGCCGCCGCCGCCGCCGCCGCCTCTTCGGCCCGGGCCCGGACCCCCGCCCCGCCCCGGGCCCCGGCCCCGGCCCCGGCCCCGGCCCCGGCCCCGGCGCCCTGCCCGGCCGGGCGATGAAGTGTCACTACGAAGCGCTGGGGGTGCGGCGCGACGCCAGCGAGGAGGAGCTCAAGAAGGCCTATCGGAAGCTGGCCCTGAAATGGCACCCGGGTAACTACGAGCCGGGCCCCCGCCACCCCTCGCAGCCCTCGCAGCCCTCGCAGCCCTCGCACCCCGCCGCCGGAATAACTGCGGGGCCCTGGGCGGCCCCGACCTCCCGCGGGCTCGGGCCAGGTGCCGCTGCGCAGAGCCCTTGCCGCCGCCCGCCGGCGGGCGCATCCTCGGCCCGGCTGCCCCGAGCCCCCGCGCCCGCGGCCCTTCCCGGCCCTTCCCGGCCCTTCCCGGCCCCTCCCGGCCCCGCCCCGCGCCGCCCCGCGCCGCCCCGCGCCCGCGGCCCGCAGTGCCACTCGGGGGGAGGGTCGCCTTCTAGCGCCTTCCCCCGCTCCTCCCGGGGGGCCGGGGCCCGAGCGCCTGGCCCTGCCGCCTAGCTGCCCTGAGCTGCCCTTAGCTTCATCGCCGAATCCCGGCTGCCCAGGCGTGATGCCTGGCCCCCTACTGAAATCCAGGCTGTCTTTTAAGTAGCTGTGCCCCCCCCCCCCCCCCACACACGCTCCACTCCTTTCCCGGCGAGCTGTTGAGATTCAGACCCGGTACTCCCCTTCGGGTGTTCTGCAGACCGAGACTTTTAAGGGGTGGCTTCCCTCGGGAAGCTTGCCCGTGTGCTTAGAAGTATGCTTCCTTTGCATGTTTTATTTGCCGGTAGGTCAGGCTTCTGGGAGTTGCGTGAAGTTTATCTCATCTTTCGGACTGGGAAACTAAGGGCTGTAGTTGAATCTCTGCTTTCTGAGGCTTCTGAGACGTTTACGTATTAGCGCTAGAACCTCCAGTATATACAAGGCAGCAAAGGAAGATTCTGAAGTGCTTAGAGATCCCAAGAGTCTTGCTGGGAAAACATGCTGTACCTAAGCCGTGAAATCTTAAATACAAGTGCAAACAAAACAGCACAACACACACGATTGGTAGTTGGATTCGAGGAACAACTAATAAATGCCCCAGGCATTCTGGGGACGAAGTTTTTTCACTGTGTCCTGAGAGGCAGTGAGGCTTCCCCTTGGCAGAGGAGCCTAGATTTATGCTGGATCCCAGAGGAATGGAACTGGGAAAAGTAAGCTTAAAAGTAGAGGCAACAGCATCATGGTGGACCAGAGATGGGCCAGGGGCAGTTTGAGGACAGTATTTATGGGAAATCTGAAACTATGTGTTGAGAGAAGAGCTGAAGGAGGGGCTTGGGACCCAAATGGTCAAAGGGTAATGTCTGGGGTTGAACAAGGAATAAAGGTATGGATTTGTTACTTAGAGTAATGATTACCAACGGAGGAACTTAAATATATATTGGAAAGGAGGAAAGTAAGCAAGCTAAACATTGATCACAGCAGGAAGTCAAAATTAATTAAATCCAAAACGAATAATTCTAAAAACAGTATTGAACCATATTCTTAGAGTAATAAGGGTGTTCATCAGAAATTGAGTAGGAATTAGAAGGAAGTTAGAAATTCCTTGCCTTTTCTGGCTGGAAAAATGTGATTGATGCTTGTGACCAAATGCATATATAATTTTGATGATAATATTAAGATTTTTTTTTTTTTTTTTTAGTGTAGTTTAAGATCAGATTGTAAAGGGTCTTGAATGTTAGGCTAAGGACTGTCGAATTTGTTTTTCTACTAATGGCTGGTTTTATTGAGCTGTCTTGAGGTGGTACTGTGAGGGCCCATGAGTGGACTGCAGAGGGACAGAGACAGAAGTCAGGTAGGTTCCACTATGGAAGGGCCCACACCAGGCTTGGGGTCAGTGGGAAGGAAGGGCCAGGCCAGGTTGAAAAGATGCTGTAAAGGAAAAATTACCAGATTTGGTGATTGATTGGAAATCAGTGCAAGGAAGGAAGGAAGAAGTATGCAAACATTATTAAAACATCACTAACTGTTTTGAAACCTAACTGGTTAGAAATGAAATGTGCATGTCTTCTCTGAATGTCATCATTAAACATAACATCCTAAATATCTTTTGGTGTGAAGATGCCTGTACACTTAAAGGATACATCCTCTCCAGGTAACACAGGATTATGGTATATTTTGCTGCGCTGGCTTGTTAATTTGTTACGTCCGTCAGTCAGCAAATGTTTAATTCATGCTGTGTGCAAGGTTCTGTGTTAGATGTTTCTGAGGTTAACATATGGGGTTTGGTTTGCTCCAAAAAGAATTTGTACTTCAAAACAAAGGCTGCTCATTTTTCATTGTTAAAGGTATTTGTTTTTTTGTTGAGCAGCCGAACATAATCTTCAGTAGGGTCAACATGACTTCCAGTGAGATCACTCCTTGTGAAGGGAAGGCTTTTATTTGATGCTACGAGCACTTTGATGTGTGAATGAGACAGGGACAGTCCCTTCCCTGCTGGCACATAAAGTCATCAGAGAGTCACAGGAAAACAGGCAGTTGTAGTCTGGTGAGATCAGGGTGGTATGAAGGCAAATAGAAGATGCTTATGAGCACATATGCCTGACCTGGACTGGGTTTATGTGTAGGTGGGAGAGATGTGCATCCCCAGAGAAGTGACTTCTAAGGCAAGACTAAAGGCAGAAAGCAGTTAATACAGGTGGAGGGAGGCAAGACAAAGCATAGCGGAGTGCAGGAAGGGCAAGTGGTGAGCATGGCCCGGGAAGCAGCAACCAGGTCATGGAGGTTGGGGTAAACTGGATTAGGTACATTGGATTTTAACCTAAGGGCATTGGGAAGCCACTGAAAAGTCGGAAGCAGGAGAAAAAGATATTTATTTTTCAGGTATCTCTAGCTATTGTGGAGAGAGTGGATTGGAGCGAGCAAGACTGGGGGTAGGGAGACCAGGAGGTCAGAGTACATTGAGGTCACCCATGATGATCATAGTATCTGCAGATGGAAACTGAGCCAAGTGCTAGAATTCTCAGTGAGTTAAGGGGGATTGGTTGAGTGATGTGTGGACAGTGAGAAGGGGAAGAAGGTGGCCAGTGGTTTGAATCTGGAAGGAATGTAGTTTGCCCTCGGAGGTGAGGTGAAGGGCCAGCAGTCAGGAGGAAGCCAGCTCCAGCACCAGACCTGCCGTATGAGGGCTGTGGCTTAAGGAGCCCCAGGAGGAAGCCCTGCAGGGAAGTGGTATTCTCAGGAAGCCTGGCTTCCCTCAAGACAGAACTTAAAAGGCTCAATCCATGGAATTTTCCAAAAGGCACCTTAAAAAAGTTTGGGAGGGAATAGAAGAGTGTGCGTAGTGAATCCAGAGAAAAGTACAAAGAATAGTGTGAAAATGCTTTTTAAATTTGGATGACTGGATTTGCAATACCTGTGGCCTTTGCATGTGGCTAATAATAAATGTGGGCTTTTTGTTTCTTTATTATTGCTTTTTAACTTATTGCATCTATGCTTTTAGATCTCACTTTAACATTATAGTCAACCAGTTCAGGTATGTTTGAGTGAAATAAAGAGCCATATGACAAGCTGGGAAAAATTTGTTTAAGAAAGATGCTTCAGTAAGAAGTTAGGTCTTATTTTCAGCTGATACATTGATGGACTTTCTGTGTTTGAAAGCTTGAGCTTTCTCCAAACTTCTTTGGGGGAGGAAGGAAGGGAGTGGGAAGAAGCAGGACAACAGAGTACAGTACTGATTAAAAGGTGAAGAAGAACCACCCACATACCTCCCCCAGTCACCTTTTTTGTTTTATGTGGGAAGATTTATTTGCTGGCATTTTCTGCCATTCTGCTTTAATTGGGACTGTGCTTTTTTATTTATGACAAAAAGTTTATGAATGATTTGGTGAAGATGTAGAAATCATGAGTATTTTTGAATCATGAAAGATGTAGAAATCATGACTTTCACCTTAAAGCATGTCTGGACTGTTGAGCTGCATGTGACAGGAAGATGGCTACAGTAACTAAACCAAATAGTTTTGTTTTTCTCAACCTTAGCAAGAAATCCAGAGAGGGCCCATCTTGGTAGCTCCAGCTCTTGGTGATGAAACGGTCAGAGACCTGCTCCATTGTCCTGACTCTAAGGCTTGAGTGCTTGCACCAAGTATAAACAGTTAAGCCTCAAAGCTAGAAGTTTCTTGCTCTCTCGTGTCCAGGTGCAGACAGAGACCTGCAGGTGAGCTGTGGTGGAGCAGTTCTCCTCCTCGAGGTCTGTGGACTCTGCTTAGCTCCTTTCAGATGGGCCCTCACTTACTGTCCAGAGTGGTCATTGGCGGTCCCAGGGAGCAGAACGGAGGAGGAAAGGCTAGAGCAGGGACAGCGTGTGTGCTGGTTGCCTTTTAAGGAAGTCCCTAAAAGCTGTCGTATAACACTTTTATGGTGGTAGTGATTGGAATGTAGTCACAGTCATGCCACGCTTCAAAGGAGACTGAGAAATGGAGTTTTTATCATGGGACCCTGTACCCGCCAGAAAATCAGGGTTCACGGTTACTGGAAGAAGGGAATAAAGGAGCAGTCTCTGCCTCAATCCTCATAATCACCTGTAGGCCTTAGACTGACTTTGGACTGGGTTAAGGGTGTAAGGTGAGTGCTACCAAAGCCCATCCCTTTCATATGGAAAATAGAATCTTTCCTGGAAAGTTTTAGTTGGTTGCCATGTGTTTATATTTCATTGGCTAAAACTGGGTCACCTAATCTCCCCAACCTCCAGAACATCTGGGGAGGTGAATTTTTTAACTAGGTACATTACCACTGTGAACAAAACCACGGTTTTGTTAGGAAGAAGAGACTAGGTACTGGATAGGCAGCTCTAGTAGTAGTATCTTTCATAGAGTGGTAATCAAAACTTAAAATAATGGCAATAGACCACTGACTGTCCTGCATTACCTAAAACCTGATTGCAGCAGGGCCACAATGAGATAGAATTTGGTGGTATTAGTTGGACATAACAGAAAACCTAATTATAATCACTTAAATTAAGGTGTTTTTCTCTCTCTCTTATCACAAGAAGGCTTGGAGGTAGCTGCCTCCTTGCATTGTTTCAGTGATTCGTTAATATTTCTGTGAACCTCTTGGCTTTTCCTTCAAGGTCTCAAGATGGCTGCTGAGGCACCAAACATCATGTCCACATGCAAGACAAGAAGAAAGAGGAAGGGAGGAAAATATACTAATAGACTTCTGCCGTCATCCCACTGGTCAGAACTGTGTCATATGGCCAATTCCTAGCAGCAAGGGAGGCTGGAAAGCAAGTCCTTGAGCTTAGTCAGCCTCCACAGTAGAGGCTGCAGGAGAAAAGGGGAGAGGCGTTGGATGATCTAACCTTTAGTGTCTGCCACATTCAGAATGGATTCAGAGCTATATCTTAGTTTTTTTTTTAAAAAAAAAACCATTATGTAGTTATCAGTTGGCTTGTCAGTATGAAAAACACAAGAAACTTTGTCAACCGTAAATTCACAATGAGGTCATGTGATGCTGTTGCTAGAAGTTAACATTATGAGCTAGAGTGATTAAAAGTAGAATGTGAAGAGAAGGGAGTGATGAATGGCTCTTTGACCATTGGCGCCTGTCTTTACTGTGTTTGAAGTAGAGGACTGTGGTGTGCGGTGGGAGATGGGAGTGTGTAGTCCAGGAGAAGGGGGACTGCAGATGGCCGTCGCTGGCCTCACATGCGCTGCGCCGAGGGAGGGGGTTCAGACTTGCGCTGTAGTGCTTGCCACTTACACCCGGGCTGCGGGGAGGGAGATTGTTTTTCATTCAAGTTAGAATTACCGTGATTCTAAAATAACATTGAGAGGTTTTATGTTAAAACATCTTAGCAAAGAGAGCTGCCCCTGAGAAGGTGCTGTCAGTGACAGTGGTTGAGCAGAAAACCACCTGAAGGGCTGGACGCCGGGTACCTAAGACGGGGAGGTCTCGTTCTAAGGCTGCAAGATTATTGGGTCATGGGGAATATGTTTCTGTCCTGTGTTACCTCCGGCCTCTTCGGGGCAAGTATTAAGTTGCAGCTTCTACAATTTTGGTATGGTCCAGAGTAGATTCAAAATATTTTAGTTTCTGAGTGTATTATCTATTGCTCCATAACAAATTACCAAAAGCTTTGGGTTTTATTTATTTATTTTTTTATTTATGACAGTCTCACACACACACACACACACACACGAGAGAGAGAGAGGCAGAGACACAGGCAGAGGGAGAAGCAGGCTCCATGCACTGGGAGCCCGACGTGGGATTCGATCCTGGGTCTCCAGGATCACGCCCTGGGCCAAAGGCAGGCGCCAAACCGCTGCGCCACCCAGGGATCCCAGCTTTGGGTTTTAAACACTGCAAAACATGGACTGAGTGAGGATCAGATCTGGGAGTGGCTTAGCTGGGTGGTTCGGCTCAGGGTTTCTCATGAGTGGTATCCTCATTGGGAAAGTCCACGTCTCAGTCTCACCCGCGTGGTCTTGGCAGGCCTTATTTCCTTGCTGGCCGCGGGCCAGAGGCCTGTTCTCCCCGCGTCTTCATGCCGTGGCCGCTGGCTCCTCCCAGGGCCATCCAAGACAGCGAGGGCCCACGGTGGAAACTGCCATCTTTTACAAACTAGTCTCAGAAGTAACTTACTGTGGCATCCTCATTTCTGCTGCCTGCTGTTGGTTCCACAGAGCAACCCTGGTGACCTGTGAGGGGGCTGCACAGGGTGTGGCTCTTAGGAGATGGATGCGGGTCCTTGGGGGCCACCTTGGGAGCTGCCTACCTGCCTGAGACAGAGAGAGTCTCTGAATTCAGAGTTAAGGAAGCACAGCCAAGGGAAGAATAATCGGTATATATTTTTAAAGCTTTATGAGATTTATTTTGCTCTATGGTGATAAAGAAAAAATAGAAAGACCGTGCAAACAGTAAATATAATTTAGCCCTAATAAGTCCTTCCATAACTGATTTGACGTGTGTGTATATATGTATATACTATATATAATTTATATACATAAACTATTTATATTTATTAAAAAACTATATATATAGCTTTTTCTAAAAATAGAATGTATGTTACCTCAGGGTTTCCCCTTTGTGGATATCCAGATTGAGTGCTCAGGTGATGCACCAAGGCTCAGTGGAAAGCCTGCAGTTTCTACTCCAGTAGATAGTTCTCACATACCCTGATTATCAGCTCTCACCCAGATCTCTCTGCTTTTCCCTCATTGTTTTTCTTTGTTTTGTACACTCCTCACCTACTTATGGCATTTGTGATGGGAGAGGTCTCTTTAAAAGATTCTGTCCTGGGGATCCCTGGGTGGCTCAGCAGTTTAGCGCCTGCCTTTGGCCCAAGGCGCGATCCTGGAGTCCCGGGATCGAGTCCCGCGTCGGGCTCCCTGCATGGAGCCTGCTTCTCCCTCTACCTGTGTCTCTGCGTCTTTCTCTCTCTCTGTGTGTCTATCATGAATAAATAAATAAAAATCTTAAAAAAAATAAAAGATTCTGTCCTTTACTTGTTTGCTGACTGTATATCTGTGACTTTATTTTTAACAGATAAAAATCTGGATAATGCTGCAGAAGCCGCTGAACAATTTAAATTAATCCAAGCAGCATATGACGTGTTGAGTGACCCTCAGGAGAGAGCATGGTGAGCATCACGCTGTCCCTCCTATCTTAACATGTTCTGTTGGGAGGAATTATCAATAGGAGATTCGAAAAATGTATATTTGTCAAATGTTTTGGTGTGTTCTGAGTCATCTCTCATCTTCATTATATAAAATGCAGTATTAGGGTCAAAGGAACCTTAGAGGTGATTACTCCAATTACTTTATAGGTGGTGGAACAAAGCTTGACAACATTAAATAGATTTAACTTTGATACTTGTGAAGTAACTTCTCCTTAAATGGGATGTCTCTGGTGTATAACCAGTTTACTGGTGTTACACAAGAATGTTGACTTGTCCTTAAAACACATAAGAGTCTTAAGAGTGTTTCAGAGCAACAATTGCAGTATTTCCCCCAAGAACTACTTTATATGAAGAAACAGAGTTAAGCTTCTACATCTGTGACAGATACTTTTACTTAGGATGACCTGATAAGTTAATACCATTCCAGACAAAAATTTCTGTTTAAAGTTTGCGTTTTCAGATTTTTTGATGAACTTTTTGCTATGAAAGAATAAGTTTTAAGCCTTTACATAACTTATGTGCAGGAGCCTGCTGTTACAAAGAGCAGGGGGGTGTTTAATGCTGCTCTGTGAGTCTTGTGTGTTAAATAACACAGCTGACTTTAAAATTTGTCTTATATGATAGTCAGAGAGAGAATTCTACTTTTTTTTTTTTCCTCCTGAAAACTTCAGGAGATCTGGCCTTAGAAATGCTTTTGCCTTTCTTTAGGAACTTCTTTCTTTGCTTTCTTGCTTCTTTGCTGACTTCCTTGGTTCTGTCCTCTTCTCCAGATCTCAGGTGGCCATCCTATGCTAAGGACTCTCTTATCATTTATCTGAAGCCCCTGCTATTAATTAACTCTCCCGTTACCTGCAGGCCAGACTGCACAATTACCAGGAACATGGTCCTTCTAATGTAGGAGACCTGGTCTGGAAATCTAGCTTTGCTGCTTATTGGGTTTGTGATTATGGACAAGGTATTTAGTATTGCTGAGCTTCGATTTCCTGTTACATCTCTGGGGACAGAGTTATTATATGGAGTAATTGTGTATGTGTGAAGCTCCTGGACTGTTTACATTAACCTAAGAAGAGTCTTTTTCTGGTCTGTGTTGGTAAATCTGATCACAAATACATAATCAGTCTGTGGAGCAGATTATGTCCAGTGCCTGACCTATTTAGTAATATTTCTTGTCTGTAGAAATGCAGCTACTTTTTGGGGGGAGTCATGGAAATTCTCTGGCTAATTAAATTCCATTGTTTATATTACAGTATGAACAATGTACTTGTTATTGTATTATACAGTACTTGCCTACAGCATATTAGAAGTTGCAGTCAGAATTTTAATCAGTTCTGTGAAAGATTATTAAATCTTTTCATGTTGATATTTAAAAAAATTTGAGTGTGGATTGGACACATTAAAATGTATAATAATAATATTTTGGCTGTTTCAGAGTAAAGCAGCCAGTGAATTCTTATTTATTCAGTGTTCACTGATAATACTAATTTGCTTTGTTTAGGTATGATAATCATAGAGAAGCTCTACTTAAAGGTGGGCTTGATGGGGAATATCAAGACGACAGCTTAGATTTGCTTCACTATTTCACTGTGACCTGTTACTCTGGTTATGGAGATGATGAAAAGGTAAGATAAATGAACTCACTCTTAATTTCTTATTAAGCACAAGACTTTCAACACAAAAAGAGTTCTTAAAACTATTTTATAATAGAAAAGTGAAATGGTGTTCATTTTGAAAACTGAAAAAACATTTGCCTTCATACTTAAATTATCAGTGTATGGAAACCTCCAGTTGAAACCTAAATGTTCTTGCAGTGACAGAGCTTGAGCCTGTAATTCTTTAACATTAAAATTTTTCATGTTACATTTTTTTTTTTTTTTTAAATTTTTTTTTTAAATTTTTTTTTTTTATTATTTATTTATGATAGTCACACACAGAGAGAGAGAGAGAGGCAGAGACACAGGCAGAGGGAGAAGCAGGCTCCATGCACCGGGAGCCCGACATGGGATTCGATCCCGGGTCTCCAGGATCGCGCCCTGGGCCAAAGGCAGGCGCCAAACCGCTGCGCCACCCAGGGATCCCTACATTTTATTTTTTTTTTAAAGGTTTTTTTATTTTATTTTTTATTTTTTATTTTTATTTATTTATGATAGTCACAGAGAGAGAGAGAGAGAGAGAGAGAGACAGAGAGAGAGAGAGGCAGAGACACAGGCAGAGGGAGAAGCAGGCTCCATGCACCGGGAGCCTGACGTGGGATTCGATCCCGGGTCTCCAGGATCGTGCCTGGGCCAAAGGCAGGCGCCAAACCACTGTGCCACCCAGGGATCCCTCATGTTACATTTTAAAATCGTATTCTGTGATTAGACTACAAAACTATTAAAAATTTGTGTTCCTGCTACTGTTTTTTAGGGCTTTTATACCGTCTATCGTAATGTTTTTGAAATGATTGCGAAGGAAGAACTAGAATCTGTGTTAGAAGAGGAGATGGAAGATTTCCCCACTTTTGGAGACTCCCAGAGCGACTATGATACGGTAAAGGAAAATTACATTGCCAGTTTATTTTATTTTATCTTTATTTTATTTATTTAAAGATTTTAATTAATTAATTAATTAATTAATTTTACTAGTTGAAGATGACAGATATTTATTGCCTGTGAAAATTTTATTGCATTTCTGGACAATTATGTAGTGAATTTACTTCAAAATGGGCCATTCAAGTTTAGTAGCATTTTAAGAACTTCCCTTAAATGGGAGAAAACAGCTTAAAGTGATTGCTGTTGCTTTGCCCTTATCTTTCCTGCTGAGAGCAGCATATTTTGCTCACAGACTTCTATCTTTCTCTTGGTTGTACTTGGGTTTCTCAAATGTTCCAAGCGTGCCCCAGGAGGTCTATGTCATGCTCGGTGCTTCGGTGCTTCGGATGGCTGGATGTGTTCCCCCTTCTTCTCTAGATTCTGGTGTCACTGTGGAGTTACTCTATGTTCTTTTAGAAAGAAGAGTCTTTGCATTATTTTAAATCCAGTTTTTTTTTAAGATAGATTTATCTATCTATCTATCTATCTATCTATCTATCTATCTATCTATCTATTCATTCATGAGAGACAGAGAGAGGGAGGCAGAGGGAAAAGCAGGCTCCCTGCATGGATTCTTGGGTCTCCAGGATCACGCCCCAGTCTGAAGCCAGGCGCTAAACCTCTGAGCCACCCAAGAATCTTGTTGAATCCAGTTTTGACACGTGGCAGCGTCTACATTTATAATGGTGGCTTTGTAGCCTCAGTATCTATGTTGTTTAATTTGTTCTCTAGATGTGTGATGAAAGCCTTATCAAGACATTTTTCATGGTCAACTGTAAGTTTTTTTCAGGTTGCACATATGAGCTTATATGAGAATGTGTCATGCTGGGGCAAAATAGAAAGCAAACTCTAACTTGAAATGTTAGGTGTATACAGTGCAGAAGATAACTCAATGTCCACAGGCAAAGAAGCTTCAGTAACAGGGTGGAACCAGACATTGCCAAAAACGAGAAAATCTGAATTCCTCCACAATAATGCCCCATGATTCAGGAAAGCTATTTAATAGTACCAATCCATTTCTCCACTCATAATAATAAACTAGGTGACATTGCTTGTATGGGCATCATTAAAGCTTTTTCCCCAGACCTCTGATCACTCTCTTGATGAGATTATTTTCTATTATTTTAGCAGAGATTTTATTTACTTATTCATGAGAGGCACACACACACACACAGAGGCAGAGACACAGGCAGAGGGAGAAGCATGCTCCATGCAAGGAGCCCGACACGGGACTTGATCCAGGGTCCCCAGGATCAGGCCCTGGGCTGAAGACGGCGCTAAACCGCTGAGCCACCTGGGCTGCCCGAATTGCCAGTTTATAACTAGCGTTTATCAGTGTGTTTTTTTCCCCATTTCTTTATTTAAGAAGAATGGATACTGGTCCTATGCTGTAAGCTTCTTCCTCTGTCTCCCTTCCTGGAGGGCTTTCAGCTCCCTCACAGTGTCCTCCTTTACTTTTTGCTGTTTATTGAATGTGGTCCCATCCCATTAATCACCTTATTCGGTTTGTTCTACAGAGTGCTTTATTCTATAAAGCCCTGAAAGGACTGTTTTCTCCATTGATTAGTAGTGATGTTATGTATATGAAAAAAGATGTTTTGCGTCAGTGATAACTTGCTGCCTCACTGAAGAAAAAAATTCTTAAACCTCAGCAGTTTACTTGTTTTCTTTGTCGCTAGGTAGTCCATCCTTTCTATGCCTATTGGCAGAGTTTCTGCACTCAGAAGAGCTTTGCTTGGAAGGAAGAATATGATACACGACAAGCTTCAAACCGCTGGGAGAAACGAGCCATGGAAAAAGAAAACAAAAAGATTCGCGACAAAGCAAGGAAGGAGAAGAATGAGCTTGTCCGTCAGCTGGTCGCGTTCATCCGGAAAAGAGACAGGAGAGTGCAGGCGCATCGGAAGCTCGTGGAGGAACAGAACGCTGAGAAGGCGAGGAAGGCAGAGGAGATGAGGCGGCAGCAGAAGCTGAAGCAGGCAAAGTATGGGATGCGTGGCCGGGCCCCTTGCTCAGTAGAGGTATGGGGCCCGGCCTGATGAGGCACTTCCATGGGGGGCCACGTCATCATCCTGGCTTCATTAGCCTCCAGGAAAATGTTTTTCTTTTGCACTGCATGTTTTCCTTCAGAGGCCCTTTATACTTGAGATCCGTTACCAGACTCTCGTGAGATGTAATAGTAATGACTGTCAGTTGATCTCTTCCTTTGCACAAGGCCCTGTTCTAAGTGCTTTGTACACAGCAATTCTGCAAAGCAAGGCCTGGCTTTTCTCCTCATCTTTTTGAGGAGGCGAGGCAGACGGGTCCAAGATCACATAGCAAGGCAATCACAGCGGCAGGCACTGGACCTGAGACATAAGTGCAGTGCCCTCGCTTGGCCCCACCTTGTAGCCCTGCGTCTTTGTACGCTCCAGATTCTTAATTCGTTTCTGTGCCTTTAAAGCTTTGTTACTTGGAGATAGCGTAAAAGCATTGTGTCCAGAGCATTGTAGCATTCTTTTAAAGATTATTCACTTCTTATATAAATTCTTCCTGCCCCATCCCTCATTTTTGGAAAATTATCACTTTACTTGACACTTTGGATTTAAAACCACCTCAAGGCTTTTAATAACTTGCGAAGAGTTAGAGTTTCCCAAACCCATCCTCTAATAGAGTAGTTAAAACCAACCACACAACAGATGAGTGACTTTGCCCTCATTTGAACGAAGCACAGATTTTAAAACTTTGTAGACACTGACAGTGTAGGGGGAAGGAGCCCTCTCTCTCCAGGAGGGTGGGTTTTAAGCCTGCAGGGTAAGTGGGACCAATGTGGAGACCTCCTTCTTTGAGTAAGCGAGGCTGTGCTGTGCGTCTAGGCTGGCAGAGCAGTACAGAGAGCAGAGCTGGATGACCGTGTCCGACCTGGAGAAGGAGCTCAAGGAGATGGAGGCGCGCTATGAGAAGGAGTTTGGAGATGGATCAGATGAAGATGAGATAGAGGAATCTGAACTCAAAGATGGGCATGAAGGTAACTTCATTCATTAGGAAACGTGGGAAAATAAATGTTTCTGTGTGCAGATGTGTGTGCAGGGGCTGGTCAAGGGGCCCAGGTGTAAGAAGGGGGGTGGGGGAGTGGCTGCAGACTCAGCTGCTGCCAGAACCAGTGTTGCCAAGGTTTTCGTGTTCGTGTGCTTTTTTTTTTTTTAAGATTTTATTTATTCATGAGAGAGAGAGAGAGAGAGACACAGGCAGAGGGAGAAGCAGGCTCCATACAGGGAGCCCAATGTGGGACTCGATCCTGGGTTTCCAGGATCACACCCTGGGCTGAAGGTGGTGCTAAACCACTGAGCCACCTGGGCTGCCCCTTGTGTGCTTTTTAAGCAGACCCAGAAATCTGGATTTTTATATGACCTCTTCTGATTTTTAAATGTGGCAATTAAAATGGAAAACTGTATTGTATAGGCCACGCAAAGGTAGTCCATTGAAGCTGTCTAATTTCCTAGACTACCAGAGTGTATTTGATTAATAAACTCTTCTGGCCATACAAGCAGTTTGTGTGCTTCTGGCTGCATGAATAATTTCGCAGATGGGCATATTGACAGGTGTGACTGCTGATTACTTAGGAAACCGCAGTGAAGCTCGGTAGGTCAAGTTTTAATAGCAACTCTTTCCAGAAAAACTGATAACTGTACAGGAGTCTACATGGTGTGTACAAATTCTTCCTCTCATTTCTCACTTTGTTTAGGGGCTCCTCTTGGTGTGTTGAAAAGTGTCCTTTCTGCACCTCTTGTTAGAGCACAGGCATGAGACCACCTGAAAAGGCGAGGATTAGGCATTGTTGAGAATACCTGACTTTTCGCGGTGTCCCTAGCTTTTCCGTGAGGAATAACGTGGAAAGATCTAAGCACAGATCTAGGTCAGTTTGACCGTATCTACAGATGTGTTTAGACTAGCAGCTAAGTGATAAAACGATGGACTTTTATTTACTCCAAATGATGATGAAATGAAACTTTTTGTTAATGACTTAGACGTAGTATGTGTGAAAATCTTTTGAAAATTACAATGCATTCTATAAATGTGAGGTGGCATAATTAAAGTTTTATGTAAAATTTATGAAGTGCTTTCACATGCAAGAGTTTGCTTGATCCTCACACAATAACCCTTAAATGAAAGTTTTGCTCATAGAATGATCTCTGTTTTACTGAAGAGAAAAATAAGATTCTGAGAAGCTGGCATGTAGGCCTAACATATGACCGTTTTTAGATCCAGATTTTGACTTCAACATTCTTTATTAACTTTTTGATGAATCATTTATATAGTATATTGAAAGGGTACAGGTAATTGCACAATAACACCATTTATTAAACAATACTAGGTAGGATAAGTTTTAATCACCTATGGATTCAATGAGAATGTCCTTCAGAATCGTATTAATATCCCTTATTTATAAAGAACAAAAACGTAGACCATAGGAGAGAGACCCTGGGATCTTTATTGATCTCCTTGCATGATCCCATATATTGATCTCAATGGCAATCAATTTACTTGTTTATTTCTTAGATAGATTATGGGATTCTGCAGAGACTTTTAGTTCAACATTTTAGTTGCTTAGATTTTGCAGACTATATTGATAGTAACTATTTCGTTGTAATAAAACCCCAAGCTTTTTAAAAAAACAACGGTGTAAAGACATGTTAAAGTTTACATATAAAATGTTGTTTTATGACCAGTCTGTCAAATAAGGATGAGTGTTATAAGCTAAATTTATTTAAGCATTTAAGAGTGGATTACAGTTACAAATGTGTTCACATCAAATCTTGCTTAAGAGGTAACTGAAACCTTGTGAAGAAACTGCTTTGTAGTAGAGCTATGAAAGTGGCATTTGATTTTCTGAATTTAGCTCACACTGAGAACTTTGAGAGACTTTGAGTCTTCTCAGTAGACTTAAGAGAAGAATTGGAAAGAAAAGTGGTTGATTTGGAAGCCTCCCCTTATAATCCAGGGCTGCTTTTAAAAGGTCAGTTCAAATCCTAGTAACGTTATTGTTTTTATGTAAGGAAATACAATTTCTAATTTGTGTGTAATGTTAGATCATTACTAAAGACAGTAATTTGTTAACATGATTAAGATTTGGATTCTATTCAAACAAGATAGTTAATGTTGGCCTCCCTCTCATAGGTAAAGACAGTGATGAAGCTGAGGATGCTGAGCTGTACGATGACCTTTACTGCCCAGCATGTGACAAATCTTTCAAGACTGAAAAGGCGTAAGTTTAAGATCTTTGAACTCCCCTTTTCTTCCAAGGTGAAATAGAACACTAAAAGTCCTAAAAGGAAAGTTCTCTTAGCAATTGGTCACCAACCCTCCTACCTGTCCTTTTGGGGAATTTCTGTCCAGCAGAGGAGGAAGAAGGATTTGTACTGGTGGTTAAGCATGTTGTTCTGATTCTCATTCATGCCAGTATTCCTATGTGATAGCTGCTTTTTTAAAACATAGGTGCGTCTCTAGAAAGAAATGTTGCTTGTTGCAACAAAGAAGGCACGGTCACACAGACAAGGGGCTAGACCAAAGCTGGTCTCTGTTGTTGGTGGCAAACTCACTTCCAGCCATCACACGCCCGTGCAGGTCAATGCTGCCACCCTACGAGCTTTAAACATGTCCTGCCTAAATTATACTCGCTGAAGCAGAAGGACTTCACCTTTTGGAAACAATGAGGAATAGAGAAGTATTTAAAAGGATACTATTATAAAGAGAAGGAAAAGATTAGGGCAGAAAATGAAAGTAGAGTCAGCCAGGGACAAAGAAATGAAACACAGTGAAGGAGAAAGGAGAGGGAAGGATGACAGTGGGGGTGTGAGAGTCGTAAATGGTATTGACGTAAACCCCCAAAGGGAAAAATTGTGGAGTGGTGAGAGAAGTGACAAGAGCGGAAGAGTTAGAAACAAGCAAGAAAACAAAAGCAACTGTGAAGGAGATGTGAAATTTTATTTTTTTATTGGAAATAACGTCAGACCTACAGAGAAGTTGCAGGGTAGAAGTTGCAAGCGCCCGATTCACCTGTTGCTAATGTTTTGCCCCAGTTGTGCGCACCCCATTTCTCTCTCCCTCACCTGTCTGCTCCACATACACAGTTTTTCTCTGAATATTTTGAGAGTAGGTTACATACATAATACTCCTCTACCTCTAAGTACTTCAATATATATTCCTTAAGAGTAAAAATAAGAATACTCTGTTAGCTGATCACAGTACAGCTGGGAGCTTCAGGAACTTTATAACATTGATGTGGTCCTTTCATCTCCTTACTGCCCGTATTCCACTTCTGTTGATGTCCTGTACGGTGTCTCTTCCACTCTGATCAGGGTCCAGTCTAGGATCTTACATTGCATTCATTTATTTAGTCTTGTTTAATCTGGACCAGTTCCCTTGTCTATGCTGTTGTCACTTCAGAATATGGGCCCTTTTAACATATATTTTTTTCTTACTAGAGTATTTATCATCTTCAGTTTGTCCATCTCCTCATGATTAGATTCAAGTTCTGTATCCAGCTGGAACACTGCATCAACATATAGTGCTGCTCTCAGAGCTTTATTGCTAGAATCCTACAATGTCTGTCTGCCCTTCCAGCCAGGGCACTGCTAACTCTTCTGTAGAGTTGATACTTTTTCCCTTGCAACTGATTTTAGCGTGTTTAATCTGTGGAGAGACACTTTAAAGTTAGGCAGATATCTTGCTCCTCATCAAATATCCTAGATTTGGCATTCATTTATGATTTCAGCTGGTACCACTTGTCATCATAATGGTTCCAAAAGGGAGCTTTTCTGGTCCCATTGCTCCTTGTACATTATTAATCCTCATCAGGCTTTCTACTGTAATAAAAGAGTCTGCCTTTCCTCCATCTGTCTGTCTGTTATCAGTATGAATTTGTGAAGTTTTTCAGCATTTTATAATTTATTACTGTGCTTCTCATGCTCAGACTTTTCCAGATATGATTAGTGTGGGTTCCTGCAAGGTGACTCCTACATCCTTTTGACATATCCCAGTCATTTTTGAGCACTTACTTTCTGGCACAAGACGTTCCATTTTCTCTAAGAAACCATGGTACAAAGAATTTTAGTGGAAAGGAAGAGTACCAACTGAAACTAGAAAACCAGAATCTGAACAGTTGAGATAAAGTTAATGTATTGACATAAGTTTCCTACTTTCTTATTCATCTAATAACTCTGATACTTAAGTGTTGTCAACCCTGTTTTGTGGAATGTTACTTCGTGGCCCATAGATTCACTGGAAGAGACATGGCTCATCGATATTTAGGCAGAAGGTGGATGTATCTGAACTCACTTTGAGGATAGTGGGAATGAGAAGGGAAAGACAGTTATTAAAGGTGAAAGGCAGTTACTGAAAGAAACAAAAGGAGGTAAACTACTCTGATACTTGAGGCCCTCACATCATAACCCAAGTGGTCTTCTCTCCAAGCTGGAATGTTGTCTTGTAATTTCTCCGGATCTTTCAAAGCCCCAGTATAACCTGGAACATGTACACACTTGGCTAATACTCGGTGGTTAAGAGGAAACAGTGGGGAAGATCTGAATTTTAAGAATTGGAAAACAAAAATAATAGAGAATTTGACCCAAAAAATTGGAAGAGGATATGTAGATAAAAGGACAGAAGGTAGGGAGAATGCTGAGAGACAGGGAGGGAAGAGCACAGACTCGGGCTGGCCCTGACAGGGTTCCTCTGTTGCTCTTTATAAGATTGCCAACATTTTGCTTCCTTATTGGGAAAAATGAATTTTTATGTGGTTGCACTTAATACAGGCTACATATTTGGGCATATATGACTCCTGTTGCAGTTACTAACATCAGATTGTTCTTTCAGTATGAGGAATCATGAAAAATCAAAGAAGCATCGGGAAATGGTTGCTTTGTTAAAACAACAGTTGGAGGAGGAGGAAGAAAATTTTTCAGGACCTCAAATTGATGAAAATCCATTGAATGCCAATTCTGAGGAAGAAATAGAAGATGCACCAAAACAAAAGTACTTCTAAAAATGCTTCTAGACGTACTTACCACGTTAGAGATGAGATTGCATTTAAATGCTATTTTAGCTGAAAGAAGTTGCTCTGTTATGCTAATATTTTCCACATATTTTTTTTCTACTTAAGGGAACTTACAGTTTTGAAAGGGGTAAAAGTATGATGTCAAATATAATTTTTACAGAATACATTATGGCTGTATTAAAAGAACTTTTATACCTAGGTAATTGATATGCTAATTGCCATCAATGGAACCACTGTTCTAATTTTTTAAATGATGTGAATATTTTCTTTTTAATACCTTATGTTATTAAATACTTTTAAATTTTTACTTCTCTATCAATAGTGTTTTAATTTTTTTTTCACTTGGTCACAGTTAAATATTTGACATTTTGATTTCTATTTATTCTTAGGCTTTCTAAAAAGCAGAAGAAAAAGAAACAGAAACCAGCACAGGTGTGTTAAAAAAGTTTTATTAACACTAAATATCAAATATAAAGTGGGACTGCTTTTGTCTTTTCAGTATAGCTTGTATTAAGGAGAGGGGTTTTCACTCTATAATTTTATATTGATTATAAAACAGATTGAAGGGAGTTAAAAACATTTTCTTTTTTCAACACTTTTCCCCTATTATTATGTATGTTGCTGATTTACTTAATTACTGTTGTTGGTATGTCTTAAAATTTTACAAGTGTAATTAGTTCCCTGATACTATGTAGCTGAGTGATAATATTAAAATATCTGGACACATAGGATGACTGGGTATTTAAATCAGGACAACAGTTAAAATCAGAAATATGTGAAAATTTGAGGGTTGATTATTATATATCTGAGTTTCTTTTGGCAACAACATAAATGAAATTTGCAAAAGGAAAAGTTAATTAGAAATGTGTAGTGATTGTGAAACTTAAAAACAATGTTTCTTAATATTACTCAGAAATGTAAGTAGTATATTTCAAACCTGGTGTCTAAATCCCATCTCTCTTAAGAATATTTTTAAATAAAAAATTATTATGTTGTTATATATGCATAACAGTCCTGTAGATGTATAAAAACACAATGAGTTTGTTCATTTTTACTAAGGGTATTTGGTGGTTCTAAAAGGAATGGAGTTGATTTCTGTGCAATTTTAACATAATCTACTTACATTAGCTTATATTAGTATTAAATGTTATAGTTCTTTTTGAGAAAATTTAGTTAACACAATAATTTTTAAGAAAATTTTTTTAAAATTTAGGTAACACATGAATAATTTTTCATAAAACTTTAGATTTGGCTTATCTATTCAAGTGGTTATATATTTGAAAATTTTTTATCTGTTTCATATTCCAAAAATGATAAATGACACAGGAATTTGTCACTGTTAAAATCTGTGACTTGGAACTTTTGCTTCAGTTATAAAACCACATAGCAAGTTATATGTTCCTTTATAAAATGACTCATCCTGTCTTCCACTCGAAGACTCTATAGTCATTAGCTTAGAACATTTCCTCTCTTTTGTGTGTGTCAGGACCGCTAGAATAAAGACAAGATAAGACAAATTTATACCTCACCCAAGCCTGTCTTGTCTTGAGTCACAAAGGGTAGGTCCTGTAGATTACAGTAATGAACGCATGTATTTGTGTTTTCTTACTAATGAAAATGCTTTGTTTGCTACATCATTTTTCCCCCTCCAAAGCTGTATTCCTTTATATTAATAACTCTTCTTGATAATTTCTGCTTCTATCAGGAAGAAAGCCCCAGTTCAGACCTCGTTTTATGTAGCACTTTTCCTGATGTTTTCTCGGTTCTTTAGTGTGGAGACATGAACTGGTAGATTGAAGAGCAGGAGGCAGCAAATACAGAGAATCAGGGAACTTCAGACTGGGAGAGGTTCTGTATGGTCAGAAAAAGAAATCTGAATAAGCCACCAGGATGAATGTAATTGAATTATATTCAATTTCCGGAAAACTGAAATTGAATGTAAACAAATGACCCTGGCTGACAGAAAGGAGGAATTCAAGTAACTTTTGAGCACAGCACTCTGAATATCCTCCATGGGACACATTCTAAAGACAAAATTACCTGCAAAAAAATAAATCTTGAACTTAGTAGATATTTTGGTGCTAATATTTTTGCTAGAAATGTGTAACAGTCTAGTCATAAAGAAACAATTAGACAAAGCCAAACTGTGGGACAGAACAGCCAGCAGATTATCAATATCATGAAAGGGAAAGTAGGGCTGTGGTTCTAGAATAAAGGAAATTCAAGGGACATGACCACTACATACAATATATGGTCCTTGGTTGTCGCCCCTGTTAGGGCTCGCAAGGAGAGGACATTACTGGATTATGAATATGGAACCGATCATATCAGTGTTAAATTCTTGTGTATGAAGAGGGTATTGTAGGTATATAGGAGCATGTTTTTGTTCTTAGGAGACACATGGGAAGTGTCATGATATCCGCCTACAGCTTACTTTCATCCTTCAGGGTATGGGGCAGGGTGTGTGTGCGCGCATGTACAGAGAGGAGGGAGGAAGGGGAGGGAAAGCAAATGTGGCAAACCAACAACACTGTTCATTTAGTGAAGGTATGTTTGCGAAGCTTTGTCTTTTTTATAATGCTTATTTGCTGTTTTTTTTCTCTAACTATAAAAGAAATAGGTACTCATTGCAGATCATTTGGAAAATACAGAGAACTAGAGATATCACCCCTAATTTGGCCTACAGATACTACTTACTATTGAATTGTAATCAGACATTATACGTATAATTTTCTTTTTATATTTTAGCTAATATGTTGTAAATACTGTTCCACAAAATTGAATCAGTACCTTTGCAAATATGATTTTTAAGAGCTTCATAATTCCTTTCATACAGTCAACCATTCACTTAATGAACATATGGATTGTTTCCAATTTTTCCCTAATATAATCTTTCTGCAATGAACATTCACGTTTTTAAATTTTTATCACTTTTTCTTTTTACTTCTTAAAGATATATTCCTCCAGAGTGCACAGAACATTATAATTGTTTAGGATGATTATTTGGTATCATAAAAACCTGGAATTTATTTATTTTGTAATGCATATGTGTTTTGTTACCTAGAATTATGATGATAATTTTAATGAAAATGGAACTGAAGACGGAGTAAAGGTTGAATCAGAAGATACCAATTTAAATCAAGACCGTGCCAAAGAACTGGAAAGTAGTCCCCAAGCAAATAGCGGTGTCACAGAGACTGTCCAACTCTGTGATGATCCAAAAAGTGAAGCTAAGAAGTAAGTCAATTTGATGGTGTTTTCTAATTAATGTTGGTAGTAAGACTATCTTTTCATATATTGGGGTGCCTGGGTGGCTCAGTAGGTTAAGTGTCTGCCTTTGGCTCAGGTCATGATCCCAGGATCCTGGGATCAAGCCCTGCATCAAGCTCCCTGCTCAGTGGGGAGCCTGCCTTTCCTTCTGCCACTCCCCCTGCTTGTGTGCTCACTCTCTCTCTCTCACTTTCAAATAGATAACATCTTAAAAAAAAAAGGATATCTTTTCATATATCAAATAACACCTTTCCCATGATTGATGAAGCCAATCAGGTAGGTATATCAGTGACTTATACATTTATCTAGACAGACATCCCACCTGCACACAGATGAAGGATGTTAGAAAGAGGACGCTAAAGGAATGTGCTCATGGACATTTCAGCAATGCGGCCCAAATCAGAAAGTCACTTTGATCTAGTTTTTTATCATATTGAGGTCCTTGTTTTACGCTAGATCAGTAATCCTTGATACACACATGAGAACGAGTCTCCCGATGAGGCTGCACCCCACTCACCTGGAGCATCATGAAGCATGTGTCCATGCTCATGGTGGTCCTCCTGTGTGGGGCCCCGCAGTGCAGGTCATCAGGATCTGTCTGCACAGTCTGAGGCCTTCCTGCTGGCAGGAGCCCCGCAATGTTGGTGCCGCACTAGGTCACGGTGGCTGGCCAGAGGAAGGTCTTTCTTGGGAGAGAGCATTCCTGGTCCTCCTCTTCCTGCCTTATCGTACTTTCTTGTCTCAAGCCTCCTCTGTTCCTCTGGAGCAGAGAAGAATTTCTTACTCCTTGAGCAGAGACCTGAACAGTAAGTAGCCTCAGGTCCTTGCCTAGGACCATGAGAAAGAGTTCAAATGACAGAGTAAAGTAGGAACCTGAGTCTTCAGTGCTTACCACTGGGGACCAGCGAAGGGGTGGGGCAGTGCACCTGGGGATGTAGGCATTGAGGTGGTGGCGGCAGTGAGGGGAACAGACCTCAAGGGAGGTAGGCCTGCAGCTCTAGGAGAAGGAAGACAAGGAACCACACAATCCCCCGAAGTCTTGTAGCTTGTGTTTCAACTATTTTAAGTAAATTCCTTGGTTTTGGTGTCAAATTTGACATCCACTGTGGTCTTTAAAGTTGCTCTTTAGGGGGATCCCTGGGTGGCGCAGTGGTTTGGTGCCTGCCTTTGGCCCAGGGCGCGATCCTGGAGACCCGGGATCGAGTCCCACGTCGGGCTCCCGGTGCATGGAGCCTGCTTCTCCCTCTGCCCCTCTCTCTCTCTCTGTGTGACTATCATAAATAAATAAAAATTTTAAAAAATAAATAAATAAATAAATAAAGTTGCTCTTTAAAGCTGTTCATTTGAGATGGAGAATTTATAAGATTGGCCATTAATGGCTAATTAATGGATTAGCCTTTAAAGTGCATGTCACTGTTTCTTCTTAGGCGTAAAATAATAATTAAAAGGGACATGTCATTATTGGATTGTAAGACTTCTATAATTTATTTTCCAGTGCTCCTAAACCCAAAGGAAAGAAAGCCAAAGATACGAAAAAATCTGTCAAAGTACCTGCTGAACCACAGACAGTGGTAGGTCAAAATCATATTGACATGTTTTCAGTGGAAATTGTTTAAGCAATATAATCTAACTCTTAATTCTAAAGATGTAAGTATGTGAGGAGCCCTTCTGCACCTGCTGTGTAGGTGTGGATCCTTCCAGAGTTATTCTTGACAAGTGTAGGACTTACTATATCTGTGTTACTGTCATTGTTTGTCTTTAAAGTAAAAGGCACATTGAGACCACCAGACTGTGACAGGACAGTTATGTTCTGTTTTCCATTACTTTGGGATCTAAAACCTTGGTCTAGTGCATACGGTACACACTGTTGAATGTCTCTGGACTCTTAAAGCTGATGGTGTTGGTTGCTGGGACCTAACTTTTAAGAATAGCTACCTCTTTGGAGCCTGTTTTAGTGGCTGTCATTTTGTTAAAAGGTCTTTATTTTGAATTATTTGATAAGTAATCTCAACATCAAAACATAAATGACTGCCCTCAGGTAATAACATTTATTTTTATTTATGATTTTTTTTTTCCCTCTTCAGAATGATGTTATCAGCTGTACAACCTGCCATAGTGAATTTCCATCCCGGAATAAACTTTTCGACCATCTGAAAGCCACAGGTCATGCAAGAGCACCTTCATCATGTTCTTTAGGCAGCGTAACAAGTAGTCGAAGCAAGAAAGAGAAACGTAAAAACAGATAGAAATTCTGCCAACACTTTTTCTTTTTGATTGTCTCTAGATTTTGAAACCAAAAACTGAACTGAAATCATCTAAAGAGTTAAAATTTCGGTGATCTGCAATTTATTGCATTGTGGAAGATTATTTTTTATCTTGTAAAAACATTTTTTTTGTTTAATATATATTTTTTAAACATTTCATTAGTGATTGAATTCTACTTTGCCATCTGAATTGACTTGAATGTCTCAAAACAGGTAAATGCTGTAAAAGTACACATTCTTGATTTCTGTTGGCTCACGTGGACAGAAATGTACAGGGAGAATTAAATTATTTTAACACATACAAATGTTCCTTTCTGTTTTATTTTGTAGATTTCACATAGTATTTTTATACAATTCAGTGCTTTTGTATTTTCTTATGTTTCATGATCTATCAAAGACTCAAATTGTTTTAAAATCATCATAGATTTTTTTTTCTCACCTGATACGATGACTCCAGTTCTAATTTTAAAATTATTTCTAAATAACCTATTGTTGATTACTGTATTTTTTTCCTCAAGGACAGTGATAGGTAGAAACTAATTGAACATATATGATTGTTTCAAGACTAGTATCTTTTCAAGGTATAGCCATATTGATTTAATTTGAGATTTTATAGGTAATTCTCAATAAGATACATCTTATGGTGTTTTGCTCTGATTTAAATTTTGGAGGTGGAAGCAAATCAATGTATATGGTGCTTCCTTCTTTGGCACAATGTCAGCCATAAAGCATGATGGATCAAGGTGGCAGATGGTTCAGATTTTATAGTAACTCCTTGACAGGATTTTTTTCTTCACTATTTTCAGAAGTTTTTAATTTTGTTTTTTTTTTTTTATCGTTTAATGGAAAACAACTTTTTTAGTAAACGTTTTTTCATAGGGCTGATATTTATGCCATCCGTTGTATAACAAAGATGAATATTAACTCAAAAAATGGAGAATGGTGGTGAGTATGGGTCAAGTATATGGATCAGTGATGAGTCCGTTTTTAGGATGAGGATGGATTAAATAGGCAGTTCTTAAAATTGGCCTTGAGAGTAACTTTGAAGTCACTAGCTTAAAATACATACTTTGTATTCAGTGAAGCTGCTTATATCCTTGAATCTTCAAGTGTTTTTTTTTTCTTCATTTAGAAATACAAGATTTTTTTTGTAAAGATTTTATTTATTTATTTGAGAGAGCACACGCATAGGGGGCAAAGGAAGAGAAAGAAGCCGACTCCCCATTGAGCAGGGAGTCCCATGTGGGGGCTCCACCCCAGGACCTCAGGATCATGACCTGAGCTGAAGGCAGATGCTTAACCAACTGAGCCACCCATGCACCCCATAATGGATTTTTTTTTTTAAAGATTTTACTTATCTGAGAGAGCACAAGTAGGGGGAGGAGCAGAGAGTGATGGACATGCAGACTCCCCACTGAGCAGGGAGCCCAGTGTGGGGTTTGACCCCAGGACCCTGAGATCATGACCTGAGCTAAAGTCCAATGGTAACTAACTGAGCCCCCAGGTAGACTTCCCTTATCTTCTTTCTCTCTAATACCTATCACTAATTCCTCCTAATTGTCGACCATCCTCCCTTTCTTATCCCTTCAGGGGAAATAGCAGCCAGGTCTTTGGGCTCTTTCTCCCAGCCATGATCTGAAAACTTGCCACCCTCCTCTAATTAGAACTAGGTGAGGTGGCTGTAATAGGAATAGGAATATTGATGAACAAGAGGGCATATTGATCACATACTATTATACAGTAGAAATATGAAGTCATCTTGAAAGACAGAATGTCCTGCGAATGGCCATCAGACGTTCCTTGCTTTTCCTTTTACCCACCAAGCAGTTATTTAGGAGGATTGACTGGAGTTACTTGTCACTTTTATTCTGATTGACAAAATTCAACCATGTTTTGAGGGGATCTTCATCAGTTGTGATCGAAAGTTAAATCTCATTTGTAGTCCTGTGTGTGTAATGCAGACAAATCATTTAACTTCTCTGAATTTTATTCTCCTTATCTCTAACACAGTTCTTAGCAGAGTATTGTCTCCATTTATCATACAGGATTATCAAGAAGACCAGATAAAATAGTGTTTTCTATAGTCATTCTTCTTATTTTTTAAATTTTATTGATTTATTTAAAATTTATTTATTTATTAATCTCTACACCCACTGTGGGACTCGAACTCACAACCCTGAGATCAAGAGCCGTGTGCTCCTCTCACTGAGCCAGCCAGACACCCCAGTTTAAATAGTATTCTGAAAGTGCTTTTAAAATGCAAAAGCTTGGGGATCCCTGGGTGGCTCAGCGGTTTAGTACCTGCCTTTGGCCCAGGGCACGATCCTGGAGACCCGGGATCGAATCCCATGTCAGGCTCCCAGTGCATGGAGCCTGCTTCTCCCTCTGCCTCTCTCTCTCTCTCTCTCTCTCTCTCTCTCTCTGTCTCTCTCTGTGACTATCATAAATAAATAAAAATTAAAAAAAAAAGATATTTGCAGACAGGGATGCCTGGGTGGCTCAGCGGTTGAGTGTCTGCCTTTGGCTCCAGGCCTGATCCTAGATTTCCAGAATCGAGTCCCGCATCGGGCTCCCTGCATGGAGTCTGCTGCTCCTCCCTCTGCTTGTGTCTCTGCCTTTCTTTTCTGTGTCTCCCATGAATAAATAAAAAAAATCTTTTTTTTTAAAAAAAAAGATATTTGCAGACAGGAGTGCACATGTTGAATTAAACATGTATTAAGTTTTATAGGAATGTCCTTCCTTCCTAATCTACTTCTGAAGAGGAAAACAGAAACATGTATTATGCTGAAGGTAAAATGTTATTTTTGGTGAATCACAAACATTCAATTTCATTTGAAGCAAAACAGAATAGTCTAAAATACATGAACACATATTTTACATTGATCTCATTTAAGGGTCAGTGGTGACCACCATCTGGACTGAGTAAGCAGAGGTGTGGGAGATGCATGGAATGCGGGTTCTGTGAGGAGACACTTAGGGGAAATCATGTTTGCTGTTTTCTCCATAATTCATTCAGTGGTGCCAGAGCTGGGGGTTCGCTGGAAAACCTAGTGAGACTTCGGTTTCAAAACAGGAGCAGTTTGTTTAGTGGAAGTACACTGTAGGAAAACAGGACTGCATCAAAATATAAGCTTTTGTGGAAAAACAGGCACTGTAAGTAAACAGCCTTAGCCTTAGAGAAATTGTTTGCAATATATAGAACAGCCAGGATTAGCACCCAGAACACGTGAAAAAATCCCTCCTACAAATCAATGAGCACATGACCGCCATACATTAATACAATAGAAAACACAAAAGTTCTCAAACTTTTTGGTCTCAAGATGCCTTCACTCACTTAAAAGTGGAGAACTCCAGAGGGTATTAGTGTGTATAGCTTATATCTTGATATTCACTCTCTTAGAAATTAAACAGATTTTTAAAATATTTATTAAAAATAATACATGTTGAATATGAAAAATAACTTTTGAATGAAAGTTTAATGAGAAGAGAAGCATTGTTTCACATTTTAAAAAGTATTTTATTTATTAGCAAGAGAGCACAAGTTAGGGCAGGGGCAGAGGAAGACGCAGGCTCCCCACTGAGCAGAGAGCCTGATGCAGGACTCAGTCCCAGCACCCTGGGATCATGACCTGAGCCAAAGGCAGACACTTAACCAGCTGAGCCATGCAGGCACCCCCATTGTTTCACATTTTTGAAACTTTCTTTGTCTAGCTTAATGAAATTGAGGATTCTTCTATTGGTTTCTGTAATTAGTCTGTTCCTCTGTGTTTGGTTAAAGTATATGAGGAAAATGGAGCCTTGTGGGCCCCTCTGGCTCTCCCAGACCACACTTAGAATGGCTGCATTAGAAAAATGGGTAAATACATGAACAGAAAAAGCTGGAATAGTTAAACAATGTGAAAAGTTAAACAATGTGAATAGTTAAACAATAGTTAACATTGATCATTGTTACCGAGAACCAAGGAAAAACAACTTCATAATTGTTCTATGCTTTCAGATTGGCAGAAGGGAAAAAGTCTCACAAGATCAAGATTGAATGTTGATGAGGATGAACAACAAATGAGAACAAATTAATTTCTTTTGGAGTAAAATTGATTCAATTTGATGATGTCTGTGAAAGTTGAAGATAGGTTTAGCCTATGACCGGAGGCTCTGTGGCCTTAGGTATATAACTAGTCTCTTTTCCTGGTGCCCACGGAGCAGCAGCATGGGCTTCACCTGGCAACTCTCTTCTGAAGGCAGAGCTCAGGTCCCACCCTGGACTTGCCCCATGAGTCTGTGGTTGATTTCTTAGGTGATTCATATGTTCTTTAAGGCTTGAAAAGCAGTACTCTCCAGAACCCATGCACTTGTACAATAATAAGTACAAGGCTTATTATTATTACATGGATGCTCACAGCTGAATTGTTTGTATCTAGGAAAAGTGGGAGATAGCCTAAATGTCCATGAGCCTTGTACTTATTATTGTACAAGAAAACAGATCAAGCTTGATCTATAATATCAGTGGATAGCCACTGGGGAAGAAAATAATGAGTGAAAATAAGCTGTTGTTTTAAAAAATAGTGTTATTTATGAAGAGGAAGCACAGCAACCTCACTGGGAAACATCGCTCAGAAAAGTACTTGCCTCCAGAAAGGGAGGGAGAGGAACAGAAGCGGGGCATGGCAGCAGGAGGGGCCTCATCCACATCCACCTGTTTTTAAGATCTGAAGGAAAAATGTTAGCACTTGTTTGTTCATTCTGGATGGTGGGTAGTGAGGGTTTGTTACTGGTTTTCTTGGAATACTCAAACATCCAGAGAAATACGAGTTAATGTTTCCCTTCCTGCCAGCAAAATAAACCCTCACGAGAGGGGAGATCTAGAGGTTAAGCTGTGATGTGTGTGACCTTTGATTTCTGGCGTGATCTGTAAGCACATGGTGGCAGAGGCTGTTACTTGTCTCTCAGTCCCCTTCTTCCCTCAACTCTAATCTCTAGTTGGGCATAAAGCTACTTAGAATCCGATTACTTCCCAGCCTTCCTTCCCACTCCCTCCAGTGACTTGAGCAACTTTTGGGACCTTCAAGATGTAGGATGTCCTTATTCCTTCTTCTTGCCAGCTTAAACGAAGAGGTAGTGGCTGGAGCTCTAGCCCCAGTCGGGGACCATGAGTCCTCCCAGAGCCGAGCAGCAAGAGCATGGGCGCTTCTGTTCTGGGCACCTCAGAGGGGCCCTGCGAGCCGTAAACCACCTCCCTCCGCACCCTGGAGAAATAAAATTCCCACGTTACTGAAGCCTCTGTTGTTTTGTGCTTTAGGTCACATATGACTCAAGCCCTGACTG